TTGGTGCTGGTGCTGGTATCGAGAGGTAGGGAACCTCTACAACCGGGCACGTAGGCAGGCAAGGAGTCAGATCCCACCACAACGACCACGACAACGGGTACCCGTCCCTACTCCAGCAAAGACGAAGACGTCGCTATACGCTACAACGCGGTGATTCTGTCACGCAGAAGCCCTCACCAATCGGGTCGAAGCAACAACCAAGAGCAAGAGCAAGAGCAAGTCACGACGAGCCCGGATCAGGGTAGTTGGACAAAGCAACGGGAGGAAGGAGGAAAGAGTAGGGGTGGAAACGAGTGATGACATGGGAGGAAGACCTAGGCACTAAGTTAGATCTTGCGGGAAAGAAGGAAGGCGGGCGGGAAAAAAAAGACGGAGCCCCCAGAACGATGTGTATACAGATGGCAAGCAAGAACTGAGTGAGCCAGCTTATCATTTATGATATATATATCAGCTACTAGTATGAGTCTGCGGGCCATACTGCATGCATGCAGTGCTTATTTATGTAAGCCTTGGTGGGATGTTATGTGGTCACTATGTGGTATGTCGTAGGCATGAGTATAGAAAACCAGAAAGCCAGACCCGCGAGGTAGGAAGGGCAGGCAGGCAGGCGATACACACACACACAGAGAGAGAGAGAGAGAGAGCATGGAGAGGGGGGGGAAATGACATCCACACAGCTTGACCATTCATTAGTAATATCCTACTCCTACCATCTATTTCCTAAGCCATCCCCATTTCCCAACGCATCCACCTCATTCATGCCATCTGACTGACTATAAAATCAGCTCAGAAACCTCTCAACAACCCACCCCCCACCACCACCAGCATTCCCATCCCGCTTCTGCACCACCTTCCTCGCCGGCAACGGCCACCCCACCCCTCCTCCATCACCATTCTTCAGCGACGGGACAAGCCACGCCTCCCTCCGTTCGGGCACCCCGCCAATACTCCAGCAGCGGCGTGCCATGCGCCAGCGCCGAGAGCTGCGCTCCACTGACGGCCGTGAGGGGGAACATGCGGATTTTCGGGCCTGCTTGCTGTTTCTCAGAAGAAGAAGAGGAGGTGATCAGGGAAGGGGCGGATTGCTGGAGGTGGGAATAGATGAGGTATTGCGGGAGAGATTTGGGGGAGAGTGGGGAGAGGATGGAGGAGGGGTGCATGTAGATTGCTGGGTCCGAGGATGTGGTTCCGCTGGTGGTGTTTGTGGATGATGGGGACAGGGCGAGATAAGGGACGTCGATTGCTCGTTGAGGCTTACGAGGAGAGATGGGTGGGTTGGGGGCGAGGTCTGCGCGGATGGCGACCTGGTCGATGAATCCGGCTGCGACGATTTGGTTTAGGGCTTTCAGTTGTTTAGGCGACGGGGTGGGCAGGCGGGACAGGTAGGGGCCGATGGATTGTGGGTGGTTGGCTCGCACGATGTCGCTGAGTTGTTTTCGGAGCTGGGAGACCTCTTTCAGAGCCTTGCTGCGGAGGAACATTTGGCGGCAGAAGGCGTCGCCGTCTTGAGCGTATGCGTAGGCACATACTGCTGATAGTAGTTTCAGAGCGTCAGATGTTGGGTCGTTTTTGCTGAATATCGCTCGAGCCCTGTTATAGTTTTTCTGACGCTGTTCTCTGGCGCTGTCTTCCAATCTATCATCATTGGTGTACACTTCGTCCTCTCCACGTTCTTTGGGATTCAGCTCGAGCTGATTCTCAGGCACGAAGATATCACCCTCAGCAAGCCCGGAGACAAGGGCAATGACATATGGCAAGCAATCATGCTGCGCGCCAATTGCAAGCATCTTGCCAAACCGTGGCGATAGTGGATAAATCGAAAGACGGTGGCCTAACTGGGTGACCCGGCCGGTAGGTGTCAGAGCGCCAAGGTTCTTCAGGAGTTTCTCCGCCCTGAGAATGCTGCTTCGTTCAGGAGCAGTTGGAAAGGGGAAATTGACTACATTGTCGAGGCCCATCGTTTTCATCTGTAACACAAGACTCTCAATAGGTGTCCTTAGGATCTCCGGACCTGTATGCTCGACAAAGTCACGCTCGTACACTGCTGACGAATACAGCCTGTAACAGTGACCAGGACCCGTTCGACCTGCCCGTCCGGCTCGCTGCTCTGCGCTTGCTTTGCTTATCCAGTTGACCTCGAACTTCTGTACCCCGGTAGATTGGTCATATACTCGTTCTTTGCTTCTTCCACAGTCAAAAACATAGCGGATTCCAGGGATGGTCAAACTAGTTTCGGCAACATTGGTGGCTAGCACAATCAGCCGTGAGCCGTCTGGTGGTATTTCAAAGACTCTGAGTTGCTCTTTCGTGGGCAACTGTGAATACAGAGGTAGTATATGCACGGTCAACGAAGCCGTAACAGGTTCGCCAATGTCAAAAGCAATATCTTCATCTTCACCGTCATGGCCAACAAAGTCAACCTCACTATCCTCGTCCTCACTATCCTCGTCCTCACTATCCTCTTCCTCAATATCTGCGTCCTCCGCAGTACCAAGTTCGAGGTCATCAACTTCTAACGGGCCTTCGCTGGCAGAAAGCTGCACTCTCATCGAATCAACTGCCGATCGATTCGACGAGCGAAAGGTGTCATGTAATCGCTTGAGAAGGCTTTTGATTTCGTTCTGGCCCGTCAGAAAGACCAACATACCACCTGGCGGGAGCTTACGATGTCCACGGCTGACTTTACGAAAGGCTTCTTCAAGATAATCTCTTTCTGTACGTCGAGCAAAGTGAGTCGTGACCGGAAATTGTCTGCCCTCCGCCTGGATCAAAGGAGGTAAAGCTGCAGGGAAGAGATGTGAATTCTTCAAGAAATCTGATACTCGCAGCGTAGCCGACATGATGACTAGTTTGAGTGGCCTGACCTCGGAATCTTCTGAGCTCATCTTCTTCCGTAGATCCACGATTCTGCTCAGCATGCCAATGAGAATATCAGTGTTGACACTCCTTTCATGTGCTTCATCAATGATGATAATAGAGTAATTCAATAGAGCAAAGTCTTGCGAGATCTCCCGAAGTAAGATGCCATCAGTCATGAATTTGATTGCAGTGTCTTTGGAAGTAGTGGACTCAAAGCGGATCTGGTACGAGACTTTTCCTGAATATTGCCCGAGTTCTTCGCCGACTCGCTTTGCCATACTTACAGCTGCCACTCGTCGGGGTTGCGTGATGCCAATAATCCCCGGGGTGGAACTATCATGACTGCCATATCCAGCCTCGAAGAGGAATTGGGGAACCTGGGTTGTCTTTCCACTGCCAGTCGTGCCCCAGACAATGACGCACGGGTTGTTATGAATGGCTTCCATGATTTTCTGCTCCTCTGCTACGATGGGAAGTTTCTCGCGCGATGCCCCTATCTCGGCGGTGCGGGTGACTGGCACATTACAGATCTTTCTGCCAAGTCCATCTTTTCGTTCCTCCTGTACCATGCCAACATCGGGAGCCCGTGTAGGTACAATCGTCTGCACTGTAGCAGTCACAGGTTTGGATGGTTGAGTGCAATCTCTCCCCTGAAATGGAACATGGCCTAAAGACTCATTGATCTGTTGCGTCGCCCATGACTTGAACGCTGAAACTCGAGGTGCAATTTTGATCTTTCCTCCTGCATCATCACCATCTGGACTGCTTTCGTATCCGCTTTCACTAGAGTCCGTAGTGCTGAAATCAAGGTCTTCTGCTGATTCTTCATCGATATCCGTTGTGGATCCTGCCACCAGCCCGCCATATCGCATATCATCGCAATGCTTTGGCGACTGCACTTCAGCATCTGACTCGGTGCCAAAACCTTCCCAGCAATCATCTTCTATGCTTTTTCGTTTTGCCTTCTTCCTTTTATTGTGTATTACGGGCAAACCATTACTGTCCACCTCCAGTGGCTGTCTAAGCCCACTACCCTGCATTACCACGGGCTTCAATGGTAGGTCCTGGTTCTGACGTCTCGGTTCGAAGGAGCTGGAGGAGGAATGCTCGTGTTGTTGCCCAAAGGAATCTGTACTTTCCAGATCAGACTCGTCAGAGTCATCTGGCTTCCGGTTACCATCTGCAAGGTCTTTTTTGCGAGGGTCAATATCAGCAGCATATTGAGCGTGCTTCCGCTTTCCCAGATGCTTCGAGCTTTGCAATTGACTGGTGTCGAATTTAGCTTGTGACAATTTCTTTATCAAGTCAAGATTTTCGTCCTTCTTGAGCTTGGTGTCAATGTACTTGTCCAGCCGTTTCTGCTTCTTGCTGGAGATATTGGACTGTCCGGCCCTCAGCTCTTCCTTGAGCTTTCGCCGCGTCCCCTCTTTCTCCTCTTTCGATTGAGGTAGGATCTGGATCTGATTGGTGTTGGAGTTGTTGCTCCCATCTTGGACAGTGTCGCGCCGTCGGACTTTGTGCTTGCGCTGTCTGGGAACAAAGCGAGGCATTGCGAGGTCATGCTTGCCAAAATTTAGGTGGTGTATATATTTTCTGCGGCTTTCTTGTTAGAAAGTTGGAGATCTTTTTGCCCGTGCGGGGAAGCACAGGACGAACAGGCAGTCATCAATACCAGTGCAGCGTGGTGTGGTGTATTTCCGAACTTCTTCTTACGATTCCATCACGAGCCATGGGCTTGCCTCAGGATATGTCCTCACTTGGCGAACCAGGGCTATCTACAGATGTGCCCTATCCTGCACAGACAAAGCAGGCGGCTGCACAGATAGATGGCATTCTCACGGAAGTGATGACGATTTTCTTTAGTGATAAAATCATGATATCTATCTCACAAGAAGGACGTCTTGCTCAATGGGTATTATGTCACGGAGATTACCAAGTTAGCCTCAGGAACTGATGGAGCATCAGGTCCATTGTCCACTCTCACCGTCAAACCCTACATCAGCTGATACACACCTCCTCTCAGCCTCCGGAGAGGATGCTCTTCTTCCCTCTAACCGTTTTACCCCCCGATCGCTGCTTGGTGCCGGCAACACCGAGCGAGAAATGCTGGGTCATTTGTACGCTTCACAGATAGCTGATGCTATCACCAAGAAGAATCCAGAGGAGCATCGCACGCTTGTACTTGGGCTCGGCCTTGGTAAAGATGCCGCGGTAGAGATGAATAGAGACGTCTTTTTCAAGGTCGTCGATCTCGTGCTTCTGTGTATATGAAGCATACCGAAAAGGTCAAGGCTCGATGGAGTCTACTGCATCAATCGAACATGGTTCCCTTGCGTGCCATATTCTTCGATCGTTTGATTGGCTGCAAATACCCATCTTCTTGCCGGACGAATTCTGGCCTGGTGCCTTCAATTCCTCAATGGTGGCTGCTATCTCGTAGTCACCAGCGCAGAGCGCCATGATTTCAAGGCTCGCCTCACGAACTTCATTGGCCGTAAGAGGCGGATGGAGAACTCTTTGCAACATTCCAGTCCAGGCAAAACGCTTAGACAGATCCAGCGCAATGTTGTGTGGCTGATCACGCAACGAGGGCTGAATTCTTAGCAACAGGTGCATCTTATCCGAACACCGATTGTGTACCTTGATAGTGAGCGTGGTGAACGAGTTGACTTGGAGACAGAAGCGTGAACCGCCTCGTTGTAAGACGGGAGAGGGCTGAGCATCTGGCGGCCTGGATGGGCGAATTGATAGACTTAGCTCAATGTCTTCAATCTTCAGTACATCTATCATTTTAGTATTGAGCCGAATACCTCGTCTAAGATCTATGCTCCCCTCTCTCCCGGTACTGTCTTCACGCCAGGTGCCTCTTACATGTTTCAGAACCTCTTCGCGATACCAAAAGGCTTCTCGATTAGCTTGTTCTGCTTCCACAGACAGCTTTGATGCACTAACGACAAACTGTCGCTGGTTGCCAATCAGCGGTATAGCTTTGTGGGGATCTGAGACGTAGACCCTGGGTATCGGTAAAATCGCTCTTGAGATATGGCCCGGTTGTACCGACTCGTGGACCGTGTAGGCACGGCGCCACGGATCCGTGGGCGACGATGAAGCGTTTTTGTTTTGACGAACTTGCACAGATACTGATAGCGGAAATGGCCAGACATTCCGTAGATCGAGGAGTAACAGGCAGTGGTCGTCGCCATGTGAGCCAAGCCCCAGTCGCGCCAGTAATGATGTGAACTGACCGCCATCCGTCTGTAGTGGTGGATATGATATTGAACGCGACCTCAACTCATTCGTCAAAACACCAGGCGGATCGAGTGCCTGTGGGGAGGATGCACAGGCTTGCTGCTTGTTCCACCACGCGAAGTCACTACTGAAAGGCAGCATGTTACAGCGAGGCACCTCAATACCGGCATTTACGGTAACGGCCACAGGGAACGAAAGTTGCCTGGTGTAAAACTTGTCTGTCACATCTGACGAGCTTATATCGAGGTGACCATAGTCTATTTGAACAATCCCATTCAGTAATCCTGGTATCCCAAGAACTTCGATGATGAAGTCTGCACTTCCGCCAGCTGGAAGAACAGGCCCCTCTTTCTCGTCACTGGGAATGTATTTGAATGGATGACTCCCTGCAAGCTGCAATTGATGCTCATAAGCCTCACTTGGAGATAGTTCTTTGTTCATCACCGCTGTGCGCAGCTGTATCGTTGCCGAGTCCTCAAACGTGAATAACAGCATGTCTACCGCAGTTGTGCTCGAGTCGTTCCGCAAAACAATGTTAAAACATTTTTTCTCCCCTTCCAAGACCATAAGAGCTGGTTGCGATAAGGTTGTGGATTGTATTGAGATTACTGGCTGCGGGCTGATCACAGTCAACGATATCGTGTCGCTCTGTGGTCCTGTGTTCGACCCCTCGGCCTCTTTTGGTGCCGCTTCACCAACAGCAGATGGTGGTCCCCTTCGTACTGAGTCTCTCGGAGCAGAGCCAATCTTCTTGATCTTGCTTTCCGTTCTGGGACTCCAATCCGCGGTATATATGAGGAAATCGCGTTCTTTGCAATCTCGTATCTTCGCTCTGCAGCCAATTATTTTGAGAGTGCCGCTTGTTCGGGGAGTGCCCGCCATCGTGAATTTTTGACAACAGAAGTGGCCCAAAACAATACTGTGTGTTAATGGTTGAAACCTGCAACCTTCAGTGACTAAAGTGATTTCTTCAATCTCGATGTCGACTTCGTATGGGTTTTGTAGATAGACACTGAAATATGCTAATTCTTCTGCAACGAGAGGTTGATCAGTTGCAGATGATGTGGGCTTAGAAAATGGATTGTAGATGAATGGATCTTTCTCTGTGGTTTGCTTAGACTCGCTCACCGACTGAAGGTCATTCTTCGAGTGTGGAGCGACCCTGAAAGTAGCTGGCGGGCTCATGGCCTCGATGCCCCGTACCATAAAATCGTCCCAGTAATTGGCTTGTACGCTCTTTAAGCCGACTTTGGCTGCAGCTCCGACCGTCCGCTTGATGCTGTCCATTAGCTTTATCTGCTCTTCTTGTGATATGGCAGGTGTACCCGTAGGATGGCGAAATGGCAAAGTGGTGGTCCGTCGGGATAGCTGCAGAAGATCGACTGTGTATTTCAGAACGCCTTCAAAATCTGGGAGCACTTCGCAGATCGCAATGCAGGATTTAAGTATGTCAACTTTCAGATCAAAATTTCCATATGCATGCAATTTGGCGCGCCTGGAACTAGCTAGGCTGGATTTGGTGCTGTCTTGAGAGTTGATGAGAGACCCCATATCCTCATTATGATCGAGCGCGCCATACATCTCGCCTACCAACGTCAAGAGGGATTTCATCCCATCTTCAACGCGGAGGAAGCCGGAATGCGAAGTATTGCTTAAGGCCAACAACCCGGCGGCTGGATGTATGCCCATTTCCGCAGCACCAACTTTTCTTGCTTCGATGAGAGTAGGAGTGATTCTTTGTAGAAGCTCCTTCAGGATGAAAGCTTGCTTTCTCTCCATACCAACCATTGAAAGAATAGAGGCAAGGCCAATTAGTATCTGAAGGAGCTCATTGAAAGGAACAGCTCCGGGAATAGCTGGTATAGCATGTAGAAGCATGGTGGCAATGTCGCTCTTTTTCAAAGTAATGGTATCCGCGGATCGAGGGATAGGATCGGCTCGAGGAATATTCTCTGACGACAGCAAAGCTTGCAGCATGTTGTCGTCAATGACCATGTTTCGAAGGTACATGGCGGAGAGCAAGTATCCACACCGAAGAACGCTCTCTGACATAAGCAACTGTGGCAACGCTTCTTCGGTGAAGTTCGACGCTCGTGCGTAAAGGGTATTCACTGAACTTAGCAGGTCTGGTAAGAGCTTGGTCAAATAGTGCAATGAGACAGTTCGACTATCTGATGAGCTTCTGCCGTATGGCGTAAGCTCTGCATTTTTGGGGTTAGGCGTCACCGAAGACGACTTGGGAATGGTAGGTTTCTCCGCGATGGGGTAGCAGATGTGTGGTATCTAAGGAAATTCAGCTCAATATAACGAAGTATTTGGAACGCGTATGCTTACCTGAAAATACATTTTTGCCCACCCAAACATCAGCAAGCATGTGATAATATACTCAAGACCCTTTGCATGCCACACATAATCATTGTTGCCTCGCGCAGTCGCAGTGCCCTCTGACAATTCCTTCACTGCATCAGGCCAGAGTCCCGCTTGAAGGAGTAGAGCTCCGACAACAATACGACTTCGACCAACTGAACAATTTTTCTTCCGCTCTCTGGGGTTCGTTACTGTCGAGGGCACCATAGAATTCCTGTCTTGGCTCGCATCCCTGGAGCCCAAAGCAGAGGAGACTTCAGAGAAGCGATCACTGCGGCTCGGGCTTCCAACGGAATGCCTGCTTGCGCTTCTCGCACCCGCGGGTGTGGTGCTTCGACTTTTACTGCCAGTGGTAGCAGAAATTCTTGAACCTACCGGATCCAAGGGGCCTTGAATCGGCTGTGCAGGCATTGACATTCGCGCATGAACTCGGGCGGCAAGATCAGTTGCCCTGTATGCGGAGCCAGGGACGAGGGATGGTGATTCTATTGTTGAGAGAGCTTGTATTTCGCTAGCGAGATTGTCCATCGAGCGCAGAAGGCGGCCGCTGATGTCACACATCACGGTTTTGATGGTAGTAGTACGCGAATTTTGTGGAGCAGGCACGAGTATAACATCTGTGGGTGCTGGCAGGGCCTCTGGAGCGAGGGTGGATTCAAAGACTAAGAGCTGATGAAGGATCGCACGTCGATACTGATGTCGATTTGCTCGCACTTCATCTTCCAGCGAAGCAAACATTGAAGCAAGGGGCAACACATCATGAGTTTCCCCGGGGCTTCTTTCAATGTTTCCCTCCTGCGCTAGTTGAGTTTGACTTTCTGAAGTCACCACCTCCGAGCCATCTGCCAGGTACAAAATGACCTGAGCTTCCCGATTCAGCTCGAATGGAAAACAATCAATGCTCAAGGCGGGGCTTTCCGAGAGAGAGAAATTGTAGATGATTCGACCCTCAGGAAATGCCAGAGGCGAGAATGTATCTGCCATCACAGCATTGTTAGCTTTCATGTATGCGTGGCTTATCCGTACAGGTTGACATGCTCCTCTTTGATTGCCCATCTGGGCTTACGTCCCCTAGACGGACCACATTTTCATGGTCGAGCCTTGACACGAAATTTGCGAATCTTGTGCGCTTGATTCTGCCAGCAGGAATGAGGAGAGTGTTGATCCGTGCAGGAGCAAGCGGGGACATAGGATCCATCCCCATTATGACAAGGTTAAGTAGGCTCAAACATGTATTCCAATATCGATATTATAGGCGTATTTCTCCGCACAGCCCAGAGACCAGGGTGAAGACATGGTTCCCTGGGGGAAAGATGATTTGAGACCCTATAAGCTCAAAAGAGGTATCTGATATGTACCACCTTTGCCTGTTCATCATAATGGTATTAGATATTTATGTAGAGGAGTGATTTGAGTGTGGTTGTTTTGCACTCCACAGAACAGCTCAAAGAGGAAGGAGAATGGACTTGGCGAGAGTGCCAAGACTCCTTCCGGCGCAGGTCCCGGAGACTAGTACTAATGCCGACACCCCGACATCAAGGCTGCGAGTCCTCGAGGGCGAGGCAGACCAGGGCTTCGGAGGCGTCATGTGGTGAGGCGTCTTGCTGGTAAACACTTTGTATCCATTCGTCAGACCTGTACGAGTTACTACTAGTAGCCTTTCTTTCTATCGTTCTCACACGTGCATGGCATTCCTCGGCGTTCTGCAGCCTTCTCTTCATTGCCACATTTGCATGACACTACGCTCCTTGCTGACCGTGACCTGAGACACATCACCGTTACATCTCAACGACTGTGGGACCGTGTAAATCTGCCACTTGCGAGTCCACAACTTACGATCCTACGCCCTTCAATATCGAAATCAATAGACATCGAATCGATACACTATATGCCACTTTTATACATCGAAACTGATGGCCGCTCGCGTAGACTACAACGCGCTGAAGGCACGGACACTTGGGTCAGGTGAAGACGAGGAGGCCGTAACTGTGAACACAAGAGCTTTGATAGACAAAGTTCTTGCAAGATACTCCGGAGAATGGACCGTACTTCGAGAACTACTACAAAACGCAGCTGACGCTGGCGCCACCAAAGTGACAATCAAATTTGAGACATATCCTTCCGCTACGGTACCACTGCCCCAGACTGGAAGCGCTTCTGATCTTCTGAAGCATGTTGTTACAAACCACACAGTGAACCGATTGTTGGTGACCAACGATGGTCAGCCGTTCAACGACAATGACTGGTCACGATTGAAGCGCATTGCTGAAGGAAATCCTGACGAAACTAAGATAGGAGCATTTGGAGTTGGATTCTATAGTGTCTTTGCCGACTGTGAAGAACCATTTATTTCATCTGGAAAAGAAGCCATGGCATTTTATTGGAAGGGGAATTCCCTATTCACACGACGACTGCAACTTTCCAAGTCAGACTCGAGCAAAGATACCAGTTTTGTTCTCGACTATCGGAATACAACGTCTGCTGTGCCTCCTCTGCTGCAAGTGTCACAGTTCCTCGCCAGCAGTTTGACGTTTGTCGGCATCCAAAATCTAGAGCTCTGGTTAGATAACCATAACATTCTTACTCTATCGAAAAAGACTGCCCCCAGTTCGACGGTTGAGATTCCCCATGATATTGAAACCAAAACTAGCGAGGGTTTAATGAAGATAAAAAGTGTAATGCAGGAAGTTTCTCAGATTGATGGTAGTTGGATGGACATTGTTGGTTGGAGGGTGCCACGATCAGGCGCCTCAAACTTTGACAGCTTTAGAAACAACGACCAGGCACCTGCCATGCGGACCTTTTTTTCGCGGTTGACTCGAGCGTCAGCATCCAAAGAAGATGTATCTTCGCGGACGGCGAAGTCTCGAAACGATACAGTAGAGAAGAATCTGACATCACGATCATCGACAGTGATCTTTCTAAACGTTAACACGGCGACTATTGAAACATTCACAAGTCGTTCGTTCAAGGACGAACTGGAAAGAGCCACGAAGAAACCACCGCCAAAGACGACGAAGCTGGCGATTCTGACCTCTCCGCATATACCAGAAGCCGATGTGAACGACTCTAGCTCTGGGAAAGCGGCTTCGGCTGATGTTTTCGCCAGTATCTTGCCCACAAGGTCAGGACGCATATTTATAGGGTTTCCTACCCACCAAACTACTGGCTTGAGAGCGCACATTTCGGCTCCCTCTGTGATACCAACAGTTGAGAGAGAAAGCATCGACCTCAATGCTCGGTGGGTCCGGACTTGGAATATGGAGATGCTTAGGGCGGCTGGTATCGTATGCCGGATTGCATTCTCCTCAGAAATGACCACTCTAAATAGCGATATTCAAAGGTCTCTTGCGAAATCGGGTAAATCCAAAGTGAGAGTAGATGATATTCAGGCTTCCCTCCCAGCCGCAGTAAATACAGCGAGGACTTTTTCTTTCCAGGAGTCTACTCCATCTGCTCAGACCGGTCAAATTATCGAGGACGCATTCTGGACATGCAACTACAAGGCTTCGATCGACGTTCTATCTACTTGTGGCGTGCTTCCAAACCATGAAGTACGCATTGCGCCAAAAAATCTGAGCTTTATGGAAGGCATTCCGGCGCTTCCTGAGCAACTAGTCTCAGACGCCAAGACGTTCGTCGATCGTCTCATCGACTACGGCCTTATCACAGAGGTTACGGTCTCTGATATCAAGAGTGCGCTTGAGAGGAGCGCACTCTCAGCTCAGCATGTTCACGAATTCCTGGTTTGGCTAGGTGAGCAGTCAAAAAGTGGCAAACTTGATAAGAACACGGTCAAGAATCTATTGTCTGTTGCAGTAGCCAATGAAGAGACATCCGACGGGAAATCGAGTCAAGTAATCGTCCTTGGTAGCATGAAGGCCTTTTTAAACCCAACCAAAATACCAGCAGAACTGCCTGTGCCGTCATGGACTATGCCCTTCAGGTACACGAGGCATTTATCCAGGGCCGACCTAGAAGGGTATGGTTGGGAAGAATTGCAGATTGTGCCCTGGCTAAAGTGGCTCCTCGAAGAGGCCGGCAACCGGAACACACTGTCTGCTAATCAAGATCTCACTCAATCATCACAATTTGCTGCTCAGGTCTTGCCTGTGCTGTCAAAGCAATGGGACGTTTTGAGCCAGTCGTCCAAAAGCACAATTGTTGAACTTCTTGCGCCACAAACAATAATTCCAACCAAATATGGCATGCGGAAACCAGGCGACGCATATTTCCCCAGTGTCAAGGTCTTTGATGATCTTCCAATAGTTACCGGACTGAACAGTGTAAAGGACAAGATACTTGTTGCTCTCGGTGTACGGAAGACGTTGGAACTTGGAGTGGTTTTTAGCCGCCTGTTGTCTGACGCAGTCCAACCTGGAGGTGCTATCACGAACGAGAAATCGGAAAAGCAACACATTCGCCTAATTCAGTATTTGGCATCCGTGCGCGAGGATATTCCAAGCACTGATATCCAGAGACTTCGAGATACACCAATATGCCCGAAGGAAGTGCAGCAGGAACCCCATAAATTCTCCGCTGAACGCTACAAAGTTTCCACACTCTATGAGCCACGGCTACCTCTGCGAGAGTTAGGACTCCCGATACTGAGCTGGTCAGGACCTTACCGCAGTGGCAGCCCAGAAGGCAAATTGTTGGTCGTTTTAGGACTGAGGACCACACCCTCTGCTGGTGAGCTCATTGAAATTATGGCTCGAGCAGTGAAGAAGGGTGACGGTACACTTCGCGACAAAGCGATGGCCTACTTCATTGCCAATCATTACATCAACAATTATGGAGCGTATGATTATTCTCAGGTTACGCTGCCATTTTTACCGCTACAGTCTTCCGGTAGTCTTAGCACGCCATCACATTGCTTCACGGACGAAGGAGCTGCTCTATTGGGCTTCGATGTTCTTAGACGAGAGTTGCAGCCACATGCAGCAAAGTTCGGCGTCAGAATTCATCCCCCAATGGATGAATGCATTGCAGTTCTCCTACGCAAGCCGCCCACGAACAAGAAAGAAGCTAGGACACTGTTTGCCTACTTCTCTGGACGCTTGGGTGAGATCAATTCCGCAAATATACCGCGTCTAAGCCAGGCCAAATTTGTCCCTATCATCACTTCTAAGGCTCAAAGTGAAAAACCGGCTGCCCCGAGGTATGTCTCGCCTCATACATGTTTCTTGGGAGGAAGCGACAGCTACGGAGAAATCTTTGATTTTGTAGACTTCGGACAAGAAGCAAACACCTTTTTGTTAAAATGCGGCTCTAAACAAGAGCCTACCAAAGTAGAAATTGCTCAGATCCTGGTCAATGAACCGGCGCGCATCTCCTCGACATTTCGAGACCCTGAGAGGTATCTTAACCTGTTGAGAAACCTAGCAGATGCCTTGCCAGCGCTGAAGAAAGAGAAAGACCTGCTTAAAGCCATGAAGAGGGCACCGTTTCTCCTAGCTAGCAAGGATATTGTCTCTACACCAATAATGACGGATCGAGCTGATGAGGCGGACGACTTCGATGATGAAGAGGTTCATGGGATCAAAGAATGGCAGCTTACAAGCGCGGCAGACGCTATCATTGTTGATGATTATCCTAGCTACAATCTCTTCAGGACAGATATTCTGGCGGCACCTCAAGAAACAACATTGGAAGATTTCTATTACAACTTAGGCTCTCCTCTTCTAAGCAGTCTGATTGAAGAATCCGCCACCTACGGTTCTCAGGTGCACGACCAGAAATCAGTTGTCAGGCTACAAAAGCAAATATGCGAGCGGTCAAGACTCTTCTTACATGATCAGCCACCAGATGCTATCAAGCATGATTCAAGATGGCTGGAGAAGAGTTTGAAGGTTATCGCTGTGTCCTCAATCAAACTGAGAAGGTCCCTCAGAGGCAGAAATTTGCATCATGTAGATCGACGCAGTGCCGCCGTCACACGATCGGGTCGCGACTATACCCTGTGGATTTCAGGTAGTAGCATCGATTACTACCAAGTCAGCCAGTCCTTGGTCCACCTACTGCTCAATAGGCCAAAGCTGCACTCTGCCTTGACTCTTGAACTGCTCTTAAAAACCGAGCTTAAAGAGTTAGGGGCGCGTGGATTTAACGTTTCGAGGATTCTGCGACAGAAGGCGGCTGAGAAGCGCTTGGCAGATCAGCAGCAGCAGCTCGAAGAGGAACGCAGGAGAATCGAGGATCAGGAGAAGGCTTGGAACGATTCACAACAGAAACAAGCCAGCGAGCAGGCTAAGGAGCCTGGCATACCAGGGGGCTTTCCAACGGAGTCTCCACAAGCGAAGAACGGTACACAAAGACTCAGTGAGGTCGAGAATGACGAGCAGATCCGCCGGGTGCCGCAAGGATTGTTTGAAACCTGGAGGAATAGGCTGGGTCTCAGTGAAGCACCCAAACCTGCAAGGCCTCAATCTTCTAGCGGTGGCTCCATACCCACTACCAACCACCAAGCCATCACCAACGGCGAGGAGCCACCTCCACCTTACTCCCAAGAGAATAAGCCCGGTCAACAGAAGACCCTTACCGCAAACCCGGTAACCGCGCCCCACCAAATGCAACAAAACCTCCTCTCCGCCATCAAGAAGTCCCGGGCCTACAACTCCAACGCCCTCTACTCCCGTGGCGAAACCAACCAAATCGCCGAAACGCGCTCCTACTGCGACGAAAAGATGGCGCAGAACCTAACCTTCATCGCCTCCGGCGCCCACGGCATCAACATCTTCCTTTCCACCCAACAACAACAACAACAACAGCTACCGCCGATCGACCCATCCACCTTCCTAACCCAGCACTCCACCGGCCTCACCGCCTTCGCCACCCTCCTCAAAGAAGCCGCCTCCGTCTTCGCGCTCGATCTCTCGAGCCTCAACATCTTCTACGACAACGGGAAAAGCATCGCCTTCAACCGCCAGGGCAGCATCTTCTGTAACTACCTCTATTTCCAGCAACTGCATGAGGAGAGGCTGGTCCGCGGGGATGGCGATCGCGGCGACGCGCTGCTCTATTGGTGGGTCACGCTGTGTCATGAGCTGGCGCATAATCTGGTGTCGGATCATAGTGCGGAACATAGTTATTATATTGAGGGCTTTGTCATGGAGTATGCGAGGAGGATGGTTGCGAAGTTGGGGGAGAAGGCGCCGGGAGGGAAGAGGGTGAGGGGCGAGCTGGATGCGGTTGACTGAGTGAGTGAGTGGTTGGTTTGGAAGGGTGGGGAGGGGGATTGGCATAGCGAGCCGTTTCCTTTTTTTTTTTGGCTAGAGGGGTGAGTGAGGGTAGAGTTTAGTTAATTGGAAGTCCAAGACCAGGATAGATGTGCAGTAGAAATAGAATGTATAGACACTACAACCCTGTACATGTAATCTATCCCCCAATCCTCCCAAGCAGCTATTCGTTGAGAAAAGCGATTCCAGAACCGTGTATATGGCGGATTGCTCCTGTACAGTTTCTTCGGCACCCAAACACCTCTAAATTATCTACCAGAAACCCCCCTACCCATCCGGCCTAAAAGCCCTCAACACGCTCTCCAATTTCGTCTTCATCTCCTCCCACTCCGCATCCACATCGCTCAGCACCGTAATCGCTCCGCCCGCACCGACGCGCCAAGTCTGCCTCCCATCCCGGTCCTCATCCGCATTCGACACCGCCGTCCTGATGCAGACCGAAAACGCGCCACCACCGCCCACGTCCAGATAGCCGAGCACGCCGGAGTACACGCCGCGCCGTCTCTGCTCGAGACGACGCAGGATCTCGCAGGACCGTTTCTTGGGCGCGCCGGTCATGCTACCTGGCGGCAGGGTCTGGCGTAGCGCTTTGTGGCCGTAGCGCATGATTTCCTGTTGGCGCTCATCGGCGGAGAGGGTTGGTGGAATGGAGGGCATGGCTCTGATGTGTGAGACGAGCTGGTAGACGGTTTCGTGCTCGACCACTTCGCAGAGTTTGATGACTTCGACGGACGCATTCCAGCCGACGGTGGAGTAGAGATCGTGACGGATCAGGTCGGCGATCATGAGATTTTCGGCACTTTCTTTGGGGGATGCGAGGATTTCTTTGGCAAGTGCGAGATTCATGGATGGCGATTTCGCGACGGTGCCTTTCATAGGGATCATGTTAATGGAGCCGCTGGAGCGGTCCCAGGAGAGGAATTGTTCGGGAGAGGAGCTGAGGATAGTAGTTCTGCCAAGGCGAAGAAAGGCGGAGAACGGAACAGGATTGTGGTGGCGGAGGTTATGATATAGAAGCCAGGAGTTCTCAGGGTGGGTGGGCAGGCTGATCTGTGCTCCAGTTGTGAGGCAGAGCTCGTAGGAGTCCCCAGAATGCAGGTAATCCTGGCAGGCTTGGATCTCCCGTTTGTAGATTTCCTCATCAGGCAGCCTGATCTTTGCCGCGGTGAGCAGCGCTTGCAATCTTGCCGAGCGTAGTGCGATGGGAGATTCAGGGCAGCCCAGCCGGTTGAGCTTGTCCACCATTTCTGCGATCCAAGTTGAGTCGTCTTTACGGATAGACTGTATATGAGCTTCATTTGACACATGGTCGATCACTATACTTCGCTCAACCCATAGCAAGTTTATGTCAGGAAGCACTTCAGAAGCCGACCGAAGTTCTTGCTTAACTCCTAGTCTTTCTAGACCGACTTCGTATGAAAAGTAGCCGATGAACCCTCCAAAGAATGGCACCGAGTCATGGCCTGCCTTCACTCTTCTCCTCACCACCAACCCCTGAATTTCGTCCAAGACATGAAGAAGCTTCATTTTCCATTGCATTTTGTCCTGATCTGTGAGGTTTAGGGTGCATGTGGACGTTTCCAGATTGTATTCCATCCGAAATTCCGACGGACCTGGCACAGCATAAATACTAAATCGTCCTTTTCTGGTCGATTCCAAAATGGCTTGGTCGTTCTGTGACAAACTCCTGCATAGTTCCAGAACTTGGCCTGCACTTTTAGGCAGCATCATTGTATGGAATTCCACGGTTGCTGCGGACGAAGCAGTAAGGGCCTGCAATTCTTCCTGAAGTGTTGATGTAAGTCTATGATTCTCAGCAATATCACAAGGCTCGGCAATGATATGAATCGGCGTAAGAGGCCTAGACCATACATGCCCGGACAAGAGTTTAGACCTGGAGAGGTTTGTAGCTCGTCTAGTACGGGTGGACCAATGCATACTTGTATTCCACCAATTCTTGATTATGCTCTGACATGCAGCATTGGACTTGCAAGATTCTGGATGGAACTGCAGGCCCCAAAAAGGCAACTCGACATGTTTCACGCTCATCGAAGTTCCGAAGCCATCCCAAGCCAGAGGCCTTAATTTGGGACAGGTGAGAGAAGGTTCGAATTCTGGTTGACTTGGGTAAAATTCTGTACACAGGGTGCTTGGAGACGAACTCCCAGACTCGACAGAAGGCGAAGAAGAGGTCGGACCACTGTCCTCAGCCAACGAGTGCTTATCTCCGAGCTCTACTTCTAAGCTGTTGTAATTCGTTGCAATGACTTCTCCAACATTGGTGAAGATATCCTCATCGCAATGCTTGATTCCTTTAGCATGACCATGACATGGCTCCAGCATACGTCTGATAGATGCTCCATAAGCAAGGCACAAGCTTTGAAATCCCAAGCAGATGCCCAGTACTGGCACGACATCAAGACTTGGAAGCCTCCAGATCTCGGAGAATAAACCAACATCAGAAGTAGCCTCTGGGTTTCCAGGTCCAGGGCCCAGAACAACAGCATCGAAGTTTTGTAGATAGAGGGCGAGCGCGTTTTGAGTACAATCAGCCGGCTTGTCCAGAAGTTCTTCTATCTGTGTGTCGATATGGATCATTGTGACTTCCACAGGAAGGATTTGGCAGAACAAAGCAGCGATATTTTCTGAAAAAGAATCGTATGCGTCGATGAATAAGATTCTACCATGATTCGAGTTGGGTGCCATTTGCAGATATGCGGAATCGGTATAAAAACCTCCAACGAAGCTTATCGAGTCAAGGAACTGGGTCTTCTTCGAGACCACGCTCATCCCGAATGCTTCCCTCCAGAGAAAAGGAACCCCTCGAACTTTGTGAGCTTTTGGTACTTTCATGAGCCATGTTGGCTACACCGTCGGCCAGTCATATGTCGTGGTATTAGAGATGGATAAAGCAACTAAACTCCAAGAATAAACAGCGAGAACGAATACTTTTGGGAGGCGACTGTACCAACACAACAATACCAGTAACTTTTAGTTAGCGGAGTCACAAATTTCGGAAAGAAGCTAGACCATTATAGGAAATCCAGCTCTATGCCAAGCTTAATTAGCTACTTCCGGACAGGTTTCGTCTACCTCCACCTTTCTCTCTTCATCTCTGCGAGTATTACAAGTATAAGGGACGAGATTAAAAGAGTTAGATAAGTTCCTGTTACCGCCAGCGATATTGAAAGGAGTCTGGAACTATAATGGAGACCGAGCAAGAACAGAAACTGGATGAGTTATTCTACCGCGATTCGCAGTGGATAGCGGATAATGGTCGATATGTACACGAAAACAATGGTGCTCCTAGCTCCCTACAATTGCGCTCTGGGTGAAGTTCTGATGCGTTGTAGTTCTATTCTACTTCGCTCAATCTCCATTCTTCGACAGACAGTCAAACAACAATTCCGTCTTCCTCCAAGCAATCAGTGATCCTCGCTTTTCTAATTGGCTTGCAACCAGAGAAAACTTCGAAGCGCAGCTTCGCAGGATTGCAGGTACGGAATACGTCGTTACTCATGATCCGATAGCCTCAAAGGTACGGTACAAGGACGGCGAGTTCTCGAACATTTGGGTCATCCAGAAGCAGGCCCGGAGGAAGAGACCAGGGCAAGAAGACGAGGTTACGCCGTTGGCCATGTATTACATCGTTGGGGATGCTATCTACCAGGCGCCGACCATTGCAAAATTGATCGGTAATCGAATGGTAGGAATATACGCAGATGAAGCTCTTGATCGCTGATGATGAAAGCTATCAACAGTGACTTCCTTGAACAAGTTGCTGGCAACAGCGGCGCCTTTGCCTTTATATTCAGCAGCATACGGTCACACATATCTCACGCCTTCGCAAAAGGCTTCGAATCCTAAACAGACTGGGTTGTCTCAGCAAAGCAGAGAAGACACACCGATGCCCGACGTTCAGTCAGCAACGCAGCCCATGAAATCGGCTTCTAACCATGACTACTCAGAGTTCGAGGATACACAAATGTTTCTTGAGGCCTTGAACCTCTCAAGCCGCTATGGTAAAGAGTATATGGACGATGCTCCTCTTGTTGGCGAACCCGGCAATTTCCGAACGTCAAAGGTGAGAGATACAGCAGCTCCTCCGAAGGAAACCCCATCCACCGATAGACAGCCTTCTGCTCAATCGAAGGAAAAGAGCCCAGCACCTTCTCCTCCGCCACCGATCCAGACGGACGTGCCGCAAGCGGTTGGAAAGAAGTCAGCAAAAGGTGGCGATCGAAGCCCCACGACGCCTGGTGGACGAGAGAAGCCTAAGCGAAGAAAGAGTAGGCCTGCTGTTACCCCTACAGAGGCCTGAGCATACTGTGATAATGGTGGCTGTGTTTCAGCCCTGCGCCTGGAGGACATTTCGATGTAGGCTATTGGCCTCCCACTTGACCTGGTAGAGGCGTTGCAAGCGCAATGGACCACTCCGAAACATAATGAATCGAGTTATCTGGAAACAATTTCATTGGAACAGTCTGAAAACATGCTGTTCTCAGACGGTTAGTGTTGTGTTTTTCAGGACGGTAGTTGGGCAAGTCTTCCTTGCAACTGCAGCATACGCATTCTGGGAAAAATTGAATATAAGGCGTTGTGGTTCTTGATTGAGAGAAAGAGTCCGCACGTCTTGATCACGGGACGCGTTTTGTGGCTTCTGGTTGAGAAGACGAAGATTCGGGTTATGGTCTAGATATGAAAGAAGAAGGAGCACCAGCATCCTGCCAAGGTGAGCTGCGGGTTTTAATTTGAAAAGGGTGAGGCCGGTGGTGCTTGCGGCGTCAGGGTCCTCAGCAGGAGGAGCAAAAATAAGGAGTCTCTTCTTGGTTTGTGGCCTTACGTTGTCTACTCAGGCACGAGCCCACCTACAAAAGAGTGCGTGGATAGCGTGGTGTTGATGTTGTTCTTCTTCTGCTCAGGTTAGGTGCTAGATGTGGGAAAGAAATCGAAGGATAACAGATGGTCGAGTTAGAAGGTCAGCTCCAATGAAGTATAAATACTAAGGCCAATCACGATGTCTCATGATTGATGAGAAGTAAACTATGACGGTACAACATTTGCTGCAGAATCGTCTGAAAGAGCTGGATATGAAGCAAAAGTACTCCTTTGTACTACCTGACCCAAAGCCTAACAGAGCCCGCCTTTCATAGGAAGGACAGGGATACTCGGAGGCATACCGCTTAAAAAGCTTCATCTGCATTGGTATCTGTAGTTTGAGGTTCAACAAGGATGTAGCGAAGCCGCAGTAGTGGAAACATTGACATCACAAGTGAACAGAAGGACTGTGTAAGGTACAATCCCGTGAAACAGCACCGGCATGATTGTTAGCGTGCAAATGCACATTCCTCTAAGATTGGCATGTCGAGTGAAGTGTATTTGGAACTGGACTGCAAGAGTGACGAACAGGAACAGGAACATAGAAATCGCTGGCACAACAGCACACTCCGGTTGGTGGTTGTCCAGGTCAAGCTCTCTAACTAACTACTCAAGTATCCTTGTTGCATGAACTCTTCTGACTCTTGACATTGCTCAACGCGTACATGTTATTCCTGTATGTCCGCTTGCGTACTCTGTACAGCAGCAAAGGAAGTCTCTTCCGAAGCCGGGACTCACGGGGCGGGTAGAAGATATCTGCATGCCACTATGGTCGATGGAAGGACCACATACGGTATCTTGGCTGCTATCTTGGGTTTAAGGTACTGAAGAAATGTCATTGGTCTGGGAATGGGGCAGGCGGCTCGAGGTGGGTTGACGAAAATACTGAGACAAGCCACTGTACAGACCTACCTCATAAAATCTCATTACATGTGTTCGTCGCCCCCATTTGAGCCCCGAATTTATTGTACCAGATAACACAGATTTTAGAGCATTACATTGCGTAATGAAGAATGTGATATGAACAGCCAGAGCAGCAGCAACTCCAAAGCAGTGCTAAGGAGCTGCAACAACTTTGCAATGGGCAATAGCAAGAAAATCTTCACATATAATTGTCGTTCATTTGAACTTTGTTTAACGCCCTAAGCGCAGGAACAGACGAACACGACCCTCTTGCTGCTTAAATATGGGCCTGAAATATCTTCTTCCAGCCGATGGTGCTGGGTTTCATGGTGCTGTTCTTCCAAATAAGTCATCATCACATTCATTGACAGATATCTCCTCATTGTTCGTGCAAAACCGTTCTCTACGCTATGCCACCGTCTTCCTCCGAGAATGACAAGGCCAAGGCCGCCGTTGTCTGCGTATTGTAAGAGAGAAATGATGCCATCTGAAATGTTTCTGATAGCTATTGCTGACATAGACCACTCCAGTTGCGCATCCGGCACGGGTAACAATCCTGCGCATACCGAGTCTGCCCGAACTCTTGCCCAGTCTCTCCACCAGTCAAACATCTCCCTCGTCTACGGCGGTGGTACTCGCGGTATTATGGGCGAGCTGGCACGAACGCTCGTCTCCCTCTCCGGGCCCGAGAGTGTCCATGGCATCATTCCGCGACCGCTCATCCGCATCGACCCCAAGTACGAGCAGAACGCCAAACAAGCAGACTTGAATTCCAACTCCGGCTCCAAGGACGCTGAGAGAGGTATGTCCGCGGATGAGCTGCAAAAGATAGACTCAGGCGAGAAGGCCAGCTTGCCGCAGAAGAGTGAATATGGTCTTACGACTGTGGTATCGGACATGCATACGCGGAAAAAGGCGATGGCGCAGATGGTGATTGAAGGCGGGCCTGGCAGCGGGTTCGTGGCATTGGCGGGTGGGTATGGGACGATTGAGGAAGTGATGGAGATGGTTACTTGGAACCAATTGGGCATTCATAAGATGCCGATTGTGTTGGTGAATATTGATGGGTACTGGGATGGGCTATTGCAATGGGTCCGAAATTCTGTGAAGGAGGGCTATGTCGGAGAATCAAATGCTGGAATTCTTGTGGAAGTTAAGAGCACTGATGAGGTGTTGGATGCGCTAAAGGAATACAGGGTTGCTCAGGGTCGATACAATTTGGATTGGAGTCAGGGGTAGCGGCATGAATAATGAAAGCACAGAGAGGTAATTAGAGACCTTGTGGTAGACGAATAGATAACAACAGCATAATTCTAGACTATGCCATAGTACTTGCCATGCCACTGTACCCAGAACGCCGCGCCTCAATTTCACGTACGATCATGAGTCAGTCTCCATGGCATCTCCCGCAGTTTCTCCTTCTGTTGTGCCGGTGGTTTCTAAGCTGGCTTCCAATAGAGGCGCGATCTCTTGACCATCATAGAGTTTAAAGTTCTCCAGCTTCTTCTTGCCATCTGTTGACGTCGAGCCAACGACTCCAACGCTTGTATTGTCGACCGTCAGCTCCTTGTCCTGGGCTAAACTCTCCTTCAGCGCTCTTAGGCCATGTTTCAGCAGCTCATCTCGGTCACAGTTTGCGAATTCGTCCAGATGTCGCTCTAGATACGTTCTGGCCATTTGACTTCGTGCTCCGATTGCGCAGGCTAGCATTTCTTGCGTCATCCCTGAAGGCTGGAACTCAAACAGATGTGGTCCCAGCTCATCAATCCCGGCCACTAACAGTCCGACACCGTAAGGTCTTCTACCATATTGCTGCGTGTTCGTCTGTGCTCGATCGCCAATCATACCTACTATGCGCTCAACTGGTATAGGGCGACCGTAGGTCATCTTTGATGCCAGTGATTGTTGCTTCATGAAGTTGGAAAGTACCCTCGCATCGGAGGCTAGGCCGGCAAGGGAGAGACCGAGGTGGTCGTCAATAGCGATGACTTTCTTCTGGTATGAGGACAGCTCTTCTGCATTTCTCTACATCTTCGAGTCAATTTCGTTCATCATCTCTGGAGAGGGTTTCGGACCTTCAGAGCGACAAGGACTGCGTGCGTTTTGCTAACAAGACCAACTACCACTGAACCTTGCTTTACAGCTTCTTGTGCATACTCAACTTGAAATATCCGACCTTGAGGAGAGCTAGGACGAGTTAGAAATCGGGATTGGGCTTGGGTTCTGCTAGGACTTGAAAGACTCACAAGGTGACAGAATCGTTGTCATAGTTGTTCCTGAACATTGTAAAGGATAGAGACTCTCTTCAAGTATGCAGTAATTGTAGCGTACTTGTAGCAGGAGAAAAAGACCTAATTGCTGGGGTTCGAGACTTTGGTAGTAAATGACAGGCAGAGCACTGAATACGCGGTCAAGCTCGAGCTCGGGCGACGTGAAACGCCGCAAGTCCAGCCACATCAGGCTTCATCATTATTGCTGCTTCAACTTTGCATCTCCTAACGACAACTACCCTGCGCAATACACATACCTAATTCCCTCTGAAGTTTTGACTCGGCTTTTTAAGTTCAAGGACTACATTTTCTTCATAGCTTCTGTTGGGAACCTTCTTCCCCTATTGAGATCTCCGCCATGGCGGCAGGGCTCAAGACCATCATCGCTTTGTCCTTCGTATGATCTTCTAAAGCTCCAACTTCACTGCAAAAAGCTCACCCTTACAGGTTCTCGCTATCGGTTTCCTCCTTGTCATCCTATCTTCAGCTCTGTTTCATAACTATCTGCCATTACTCGTTGTCGCAACCTATGTTATCGCACCACTACCCAACTGGATATGTGGACGATGTGCGAACCCAGATGACTTTATGGAGAATGCTGGCAATGCAGTGATCGACTTCGGAAGGTTCTGCACAGGGTTCTTGGTTGTTATGGGGATTGGTACGTTGAAAATATCTATAACCTGGAGGCTTGAAGATGCGGGCACTTCAAAAATCTGAGGTATAGCCAACTAACGTACTCTCCATAGCTCTGCCAGCATTACTTGCTCATTGTCACCTTATACAAGTTCCTGCAATGGTCATGTCCATCATTGGCGGCCTATTAATTTATGGTACCATCATTAGCTTTACTATGTTTTTCCAGGAGGAACAGGACTTTTGAGACGACCAGAAAGCAGGTGGAAGGTCGGATTGGTTGTACCCAGTTTCTCAAGGAATCATACTTGATCACGGAGGGGGGGCTTCTACATGCGTTGGAGGAGTACATTGGAATGTCTGCCTAATACGTCCCCACCAGCTACAAGCTCATGCCAACAATCGCATACATCCGAGCCCTACATGCTAGCACAAGCTTCAAGAGCCGCAGCTTCGAGCCGAAGCCAGCTGCTTGGTTCAGCATGCAGGTTACAAAATATTCTGCAGCTATCGCAACCCCAACATCTAATTCATCATAGTTGTGACTTATTTCTCGATTGTTGAAAACATGTATTGAACGTGGAAGGACTCTTGCCTATAGTCCATGAACATGCAACAAACGATCATTTTGTGTCTACAGTAATGCTAGTGCTGTAGTAGTTGGAGGCAGCCCAAGAAGTTCATGCCAAGAATACTAAGATTCTACCAAATGTGGCATGGTGTGAAACTTGTGCGGAATTTGATCTAAGTTCTGAGACTGCAAACATCTCTGCCTATTCACTCTGCGTTCAGAACATTGCAGGCACTTAAGCCTCATTCCTCTGCGCCACTTCACTGCCCTCACCTCGCAGCTACTTCTATCATCCTCCATCATCGATATCGTTTCCAAGAACTCGCGCTAATTCTGCTTCTCTCCTTTGTCACCTCAAATTCCTTCCACTTCTTGCATCTCGAGGATCCAAGGTCAACATCAACAACAAAATGTCTGCCGAAGAAGACCTCATCGACTACTCTGATGACGAAATTCAGGCCACTGATGCTGCCGCCTCATCTACTGCCGCTGCGACAACAAACGGCGCAGCAGGGAAGAAGGGTGATCTGACTGTGACTGGTAAAGGAGCCGACAAAAAGGGAAGCTATGTCGGCATTCACTCAACCGGTTTTCGCGACTTTCTTCTGAAGAGTGAACTTCTTCGTGCCATTACCGACTGCGGTTTCGAACATCCATCGGAGGGTTAGTCATAAAATTCTTTCAAAAGCCTTCGTTCACCCTCCGTTTGCTTCGAAAGTCCGTCCATCTCCAAAGGAAAATGCAGAATGATAGCGTCTGGAAATAAGATTGGGACTCTCAAAGGAGAGCATACAAGAATTTTGTTGCATAGGAACATGTCCGCCAGCTCAGAGTGATTTCAGTGCAAATTCACCAGCGCTTGATCGGCTTGCTGGATCAGGCTTTCGAGGCGGCATTCTGTGTATTCTAAGCCAGCCATGCAGAAGCCAATCTGGTGTGCTGAACATGCCATCACGATGGAAGTACTGCAGTTGGCACCGAGCACAATTGCAACCTATGGAGGTGGGTTTGTGGGGCCGCTAATGGCCTCTGGACGCCTTGGTGGAATATGTTATCATACTTATCTGCATGGGAAAGAGCCGGGATCACTTTGGAGATGGACGGACCTTTCGCGATTTGCTGCGCGTCTTCCCAATTTTGTCGGATCAAGTCTAACGTCCATTTCGCTACCAACAGTTCAGCAAGTATGCATACCTACAGCTATGCTTAACGTCGATGTTCTTTGTCAAGCAAAGTCAGGTCTCGGAAAGACGGCGGTTTTTGTCCTCACTACGCTACATCAACTCGAAGCAGTCCCGGGAGAATGCCAAGTCCTCGTCATGTGTCATACCCGTGAGCTAGCATACCAGATCAAGAATGAGTATGCTCGGTTCAGCAAGTACCTACCAGACGTCAAGACCGCTGTCTTCTATGGTGGTACGCCCATGGTGAAGGATATCGAAATCCTATCCAACAAGGACACATACCCCAATATCATCGTGGCTACCCCAGGTCGGCTCAACGCGCTAGTCCGTGACAAGAAGCTCTCGCTTCGAAATATCAAGGCTTTCGTTCTCGACGAGTGCGATAAGATGCTGGACCAAATTGGTTCGTATATCCTGGTGCTCTTCCAGTTGTACCACGACTAACTGTCTCTTTCAGACATGCGCCGTGACGTACAGGAAATCTTCCGTGCGACACCTACCGAAAAGCAAGTCATGATGTTCAGTGCCACTCTGTCGCAGGACATCCGACCCATCTGCAAAAAGTTCATGCGAAATCCGCTCGAGGTATATGTTGATGATGAGACCAAGCTTACATTGCACGGACTCCAGCAATACTACGTCAAGCTCAGCGAAGGCGAGAAGAACCGGAAGTTGAATGACCTCCTTGACACTTTGGAGTTCAATCAAGTCATCATCTTCGTCAAGAGTACTCTGCGAGCAACCGAGCTGGACAAGATCCTTCGCGAATGCAATTTCCCCAGCATTGCTGTACATTCTGGCGTCAGTCAAGAGGAGCGGTAAGCATTCCACGATTGATCTTATTCTAACAAAGCTAATCCAAGTCAGAATCAAACGCTATAAGGAATTCAAAGAGTTCAACAAGCGCATCTGTGTTGCCACTGATGTCTTCGGCCGCGGTATTGACATCGAGCGGATCAACCTGGCCATCAACTACGACTTGCCAGCTGACGCCGACTCATATCTCCATCGTGTTGGCCGTGCGGGGCGTTTCGGCACCAAGGGGCTCAGTATCTCATTTGTGAGCAGCGAGCAGGATGAGACTGTCTTGAAGGAAATCGAGAGCAGGTTCGAGGCTAAGGTGCCAGAGTATCCAGCGGAGGGTGTCGACTCGAGCAGCTACATGGCCTCTTAGGTGGGGGATTGCACAGGAGATTTCTCTAGCGCTTGGTTGTGAAAAATGTTGTGATTATGGCAAGTGCTTGAACTTCAGCCGAGCTGTGTTTGACTTTGCTCCTGCGGATCAGCTTCAACAGAAGGGGTTTCGGCTTCATGGATGGCTGAGCTTTTCTCACGAGGCTTTGATTCCTACTTCTTTAGCTAGAATAAGAATCAAAATGCAGCTTCATGTTTCCACAATATACAGAACACTGGATCAGTGTGATGATATTCAGCACGGGTCTAGTGAACTGCTAATTATTCATCATTTTTCCTATGTTCCTCTGCAGCTCCTTGACGAGCCTGCCACGCCTTGAAAGCCTCCCATCTCTTCCTCCCAGCCAAAGCTTTCTTATGCGTATTACTCCTCAGATGAGCCGTCCACTCCTTCTCCGTCATCAGCGTCTTATCACAGACCTCACAGTACCTGCATTCGCGTACATTGCCATGCTCCAATTCCGCCTTGATCGCTGAGATCGCCTCCCTAGCCATATCTGAGAGCGACTCTGGTGTAGGCCGGGGGTTGCCGGCCAGGAAGCTCTCTGTTATGTCCGTGACCGGTTGGTTCACGTTGGTGTCCCATTCATCGGGGTTGGTGCAGTCGATCGGATAGAGTGTGTCCATGGCGTCGGATTCGGTTAGAGCGTCGGAGAAGTGGGTCCGGATCCATCGCTCCTGGCGGCGAGCGTAGCGACGGGTTGCGCCTTTGGCGGCTTCAATGCAGGTTGCTTTTATAGCTTCGAGCTCGCCTAGGGTTTTGGAGGTGTCGGCGAGAGCGGAGATGTAGGGTTCGGTCTCTTTGTAGCCGATTGAGGCCCAGATACCTTTGGCCTTGTTGATCTGAATCCCGGCTGCGTTCAGCGAACGCTCGGCTTGAGAGATGGCTTGTGCTTCTTGGATTAGCCCGCATTCTAGCATGGCGTCGACTCGATTGTTGAGCCTTCTTTTCAGGACATCGTCCTTCGCGCGTAGCCAGAAGATTAAGGACGAGTACTTTAGACAGGAGTCATTACCATCACTAGGTCCGCACGCTCGCATGCTCAGTCTCCGCTGGCTTTGCTCCTCATAGGTCTGAGATGCGGTCTTGCCGGTCTGGAGCCAGATCTCTAAAGACCGCCGAATCTTCCTGCGATCCAGCGGGTGCCATCTGCTTGCGATTTTGGGGTCCACTTCACGCAGCTTTGCCAATATCTCGGTTGTGGGCGCTTCGAGGATGGGAAATCTCTCCCTCGAATCATCTTCACTCCCAGAAGATGCACCCTCGCCGGTTAGCAGGTAATCGTTGAACAAAACAGCTTTAGTGTAGTAGTGCGTTCCTCCAACCAAAATGGGCAATCTGCCTCTTGACCTGATCTCGCCGATTGCCTTGTGTGCCTCTCTTCGAAAGTTGCTGACGGTCCATGGCTGGTCTTCTAGACCTATCTGGTCGAAGATGTGGTGTGGTATGTTCTGCTTCTCGGCTTCGGAGACCTTATTTGTAATGATTGGTAGGCCCTTGTACATCTGCATAGCATCTCCATTGATGATCTCGCCATTGAAGCGCTGCGCTAGCTCGATGGCAAGCTACCTACGGTTATCAGATTGGGTCGCAAGAGGTGCGATGTTGGTTCTACCTTGGATTTACCAGTCCCTGTGGCACCCACGATTGCGATCAGAGGATCAACAGGTATCTTGGTAGACATGACGAGCCTTCGTGCCCCAGACCATAGCATCTAAGTTGACTGGCCATCACATAAATGGTAAGATCATTGGGAAGAAGTTCTATGCCTCGATATTCACACAAAATCTTGTCCACATGTACCGAGGATCATCCGACCTTCAGGCGGCGATCCATGACCATACTGTAATTACTGTAGCTACTACAACTTGGACAAATGCTTCTACGCAATGATAACAAAATCACACGGCCTGAAATGTGTATAGCGTTCGTGCAATGAATTAAAAAGGCACATTCATTGGTGACATTTCCGCTCTCTTTTGTTTGGCCGCAGTCCCTGGCAATACATGTGAAGGCAATTTTCTGTGAGCGACCTGTTTCACTTTCTACATATATGTATTGTTGACTATCGCTGTCACATGTACACTTGGTCTCGCAACATGATAGAACCAGGCCCATTTGTCCTAATATGATGGCTTTGGAAGAGGGGCGAACCACAGATCAAGCCTTCAACCAGAGGGAATATGTTTGTGACAGATGTAGTCTAGAAACCGCCTCTGAAAGACAGGAAAGCCACAACGTAGGACTTTCTCATAGCTCATGTACCAAGAGATATTCTCTACCTCAGCATCATTTGATGCTGCATAGCAATGATCTTCACATGATTGTATCTATGTTGTCCAAAAATGTGAATACCTGGAAACACCAAATTGGTACTTCCGAACCATAGTCTTACCCTTCACGTGTGTGAACGTGATGACTGGCCAGAAAAGTGAATCTACAAGTCCCATACTCACTGTACTAAAGCAATAAATTCCCAGAACACAAAAATTGTGTCCAAAGCTACCATTATTTTAGAATGCTTGTGCCAAGAAAGCCATTTTCATGTGTTGCCCCAACAACGAAGCCACGCCAAGATAACGTCAACATAGCTTCTATGCTTTTCTACTCAACTGTGAGGACCAGCACTGGCAGTTGCATATTTGGAAATCTGGAGCTGTAGAGCGGTGCGCAATTCGGCTTGAACTCGGTTCAGAAAAATAATCCAGCTCGACCTTCTTGTCAACCGTCTCGATCCGCGCAAGCATGGCAACTGTCGCAGTTGAAAGTGAGAAGGAAAAGTACGATGTGCTTGAGGTCATTGGTAGGATGGTCCGTTTCCGACAGCTGTCTGAGTACTCACATAGTGATTAGGGAGAGGGGCCTTTGGTGTCATTCGCAAAGTACGAAGAAAGTCGGACGGTCATGTAAGCCTCGCATATTTTGTATGCAAACGGGCGGGATGCTAATGCAGGTCAGGTCCTCTGCCGGAAGGAGATCAACTACCTCAAGATGTCGGCGAAGGAGCGCGAACAGCTATATGCCGAATTCTCTATATTGTCGACGCTCAAACACCCCAACATCGTCGGCTATTTCCATCGAGAACATCTGAAGAACAGCCAGGACCTGTACATCTATATGGAATACTGTGGTGGCGGAGACCTAGGGACAGTCATCAAAAATCTGAAGGCGACTGGCGAGTATGCGACAGAGGAGTTCGTATGGAGGATATTTGCACAGATTGTCGCTGCCCTGTATAGATGTCATTATGGCATCGAACCTCCCAGTCCAGGAAGTGACCTGTCGAGACAGAAAGATCCTCGTGCTGGACTGAAGACAAAGAGCCAGTCCGTCATGATCCTTCATCGAGACCTGAAGCCGGAAAACAGTGAGTACATAACGGAATTTTCCGCAGCGCATACTAATTTTTGAAGTTTTTCTGGGAGAAGATCAATCAGTCAAGCTTGGTGACTTCGGCCTTTCTAAGCTCATGCAATCGCATGACTTTGCTTCCACGTATGTCGGCACGCCCTTCTACATGTCGCCTGAGATCTGTCAAGCCGAAACATACAACATGCGGTCTGACATTTGGTCTCTTGGATGTATCATGTACGAACTCTGTACGAAAGAACCTCCCTTTAACGCCAAGACACACATTCAACTTGCGCAGAACATTCGGAAAGGGGTGTACAAAGAACTGCCATCAATGTATTCCAAGGAGCTCCAGAACGTTATCGCAAGCTGTTTAAAGGTCAATCCAAAGTTCCGTCCCGACGCCGCCTCCCTACTTACCGTTCCATATGTCTGGATCGCACGAAAAGGACTTGAAATGGTTGAAACGGGCAAAGTCTTGAAGACCCGAGAGGAGCTTGCAACGCAGAAGTTACAGCAGGCAGAAGAGAGGCTTGCATCATTAGATCGAGAGCGAGAAGCAATGCGGCAACAGATTGAGGACACCCTGAGACGAGAATGGGAAGTCAAAGCCCGACTTGAGATTGATCACCAGATTGAGCTTGGCTTAGATCGGTTGCAGAAGAAATTCGACAAGGAGGTCAACGAGAAAGCACGAGAAATAGCAAGAACCATGCCACGATCCACGGAGCAGCGAGCTCTGCAAGACCTACAGAATCCACCATCGTCTGGCAACAAAGAGAAAATTGCCCCTCCATCCTCCATGTCAGCGTCAGGCGAGGAAGACTTTCCATCTACCACAGACCTTACTGATCTCAGCTCTCTGTCGCTAGAGTCGCCCAGAACTTCAACAGACAAGCCTCCAGGCCCAAGAAAGTCTACGAAGACGCCCTTCAGCAGATCGAAGACCACCCTCGACTCTCCTGCTGACATACAGATGGCTGAGCCGTCGCCCATGTCGATTTCTTCTTTAGCATTATCCCCACGACGCAACGCAGCAGCTCAAGCAGCCGCAACAGCCGCCAGCAAGAACATCTTTACCGAAGCAGCTAGGCAGAAAGCAACAGACAAATGGGAGCCTACCTTGGCATATGATTCAGATGATGACGATGACATACCTGAGCTTCCCTCACCTACAAGACCGAAAGTGCACGCTCGAGATCCCTTCAAGGCACCTGCCAGACCGGGCATTATGCGACAAGCCACAACAGCAACGATGCAAAAGCTCACCACTCAACCGACTCTTTTCCCTACAGCAACAGCAGCAAAAGCAGCAACAGGAAGTAGCATACCACGAACGGTGACGGAACCAGAGGGGCGCCCTCTAGGCCTCGCACGAAGTCCCTCCAACAGTAACCGACGCCTAAGCAAGCTCCCAAGCTTCAACAATCTAGCTGCTGGCGACAGCGGTAGTCCAACCCGAAAACCTCCATCTCAGCTCCCCTCGAAGATCGGCGCCCTACCCAGCAAGCAAGCCAAGGAAGGAGGCGAGGAGATGGTGAAAGCGGTCTTAGCACGAAACATGAATGTTGGGACGGGGAGAACATTGGTAGAGCTTGCTCAGGCTAGGGCGGGAGGGAGACCACTCAGTGTGGATATGGGGAAGGGGTTCAGAGTTGGGGTGGATAGGGAGAGGATGGAGAGGGAACTACCGCCTGTGCCGATTTGGGATCCGGAGAGGGATGAGATGCCGAGTCCGTTTTTATCGAGGACGAAGAGGATGTGATTTTTTGGAGTGGTGGAGATGGTACGCTGATTGATGTAGATGCTGTGTTGTATACCGAGATTGTGAGGGGTTGGATTTCAGTTCTTGTCAGTCCGTACGGATTGGCTTATGAATTTGGTGTACATTGAGCGAAGCGAAAAGCATTGCGCATGGCATGGCATGGCGTTGGAAAGGCTTGTCATGCTTCTCTTGCATTGAGTTGAGGAACTGAAGGAGTATGTATTGAGGTCAGTACAGAGGACCTCAAGTTCGAATGATTCGAGTCGCATCCCAGCACTCTATTAAAAGAATAGAACCATTGAGCAGCAGGAGACACCTCATGGTCTAGATCGGTGCTTGCATGTCTCTTTCGGAGAGGCTGTTGTGGTCGATCTAACTCGCCTTTCTTGTATTTATGCATTCACTTGTTTCCTACTCCAACATCAAATGATGGTCTTTGGATCAGCGTACTTCTGTTGGTGTGGTCAAAGGATCTCAACCCGGGAAGTTGGAGTGTACTACTCCCCAAAGTTCTCTGGAATTAAGCCTCCAGACTTCGGATGATCGAGCCCACCTAGTTCCAAATTTAGGGGCAAGTTAAATGAAGAGCCTGTTCCGAGATGGGCGACATCACCGACCTTAACAACAGTATGGCTCTCTCTGCACAAGTCATACGAGTCTGGAAGACATACGGGTTTATTAGTTGGGAGTCACCCGTGCGTACTTTTGAGCTGCCTTCGAGTACTGTTGTTCGCCGTTCAAGGTTTAGCTACATACTGGTGATAACGCAAGAGCAACCTGGCTCAAATTGCCCTCTCAGTCTCCCTTCCTGGTGATAATAGCCCGACGCCAATTGGTCCTTAAGTCATGCCCGAGAGATGTGACCATAGGGCGCAGCATGACTTGCATGATCCAACCAGCCACGATGTAAACGAAAGTGCGGAGTCAGGGGACGAGAAAGATCGAGAAACCAAAGCGGGCAACCTGTCCAGAATCTGTCCTATCTCTGACCATCAGGCTTTGGTCTCAGCCTCTACCGAGAGACCCTTTGTTATAATGTGTCGATCAGCAATATCACGTGGTGATGAACTTACCCTATCAGGCAATTTCTTGACGAAAGTACAACTGTTTATCTGAGGCGGCCAATCAATGCGCTTGATGCAGGATACTTTTGTATCCTTGTCGAATGTTTGTACGGTGGCTTAGAGGAACCGTAGCCTTGTCTCATGTCCAGCTGGGCATGGACGAGGATGTTATCGGAAGCAAATTGGTATATATGTCTGCTCGATGACCCATACTTTCACATCTGTAGAGCCTAATACAGACACCCTATTGTCCAATCCTGAAAATGCAAAAACATCCAGCACCCACCGGTCAGCCACTTTCTGAGGACATCCATACGGCTGAGGAATGGGAAGAAATTCGCAATACCTTTACCAACCTCTACAGGGAGGAGGATATGCCGCTTCGGGAAATCCGCGAGACCTTTGCGCAACGAGGATTTTATGCCACGTGAATATTTTACCCTCATGAGAACCTCACTCATATCTAACCTTGATAGAATACCTCAATATAAACGCCGTATCCGGCGTTGGAAAATTGACAAGAACAACAAAGTACACGACCTTGAACATCAGACAAATCGAGGCTGACTTTGCTTTCAGGAATCTGATATGGTGTTTGCAGGTCAGAAGCTGGCAACCCGTAAATTGCAAGGGAAAGAAACCATCTTCACAATTCGAGGAAGGGTGAAACCTTCACATGAAGTGGAAAGGTATTGGAAGCGACGACAAGTTCAGCCTGGACGTCTCTCACCTGTCCCCAGTACACCACCAGACGTGAGATACTCAACTCCAGCTCCCTCGTCACCTGGACCCTTACCTTTCCTGGATGCGAGTCTGGCGCCTACGAAAGCGTTGGCTTCTCCGCATACAAGAGCAGTTTGTGACCCGAGTAATCATTGCACTGAGAATCGCTCTGGTCAGACGAACTGGGTCCGGCCGATCCTACTACCTCCGCTCACCTCGCCTGGCTCTCTACGAGATCTCGAACTGATATTGCGCAGTACGAGGGAACATTATGAGATGTGCATGGATCAAGATTACAGCAATGTGCAGCACCTTATCAGCTTTGAGAATGATAGCCAAACTATTATCGCTAGTACTATATATGGATACGAGGCTTCGGCACAGGCGGCTCTAATCAGAGTCCAGAATACCCTTTCTGAAATTCTGAGAAACCGAGATAAAAATTTGCTTTCCACCGTTATGTCATCGCTGACGGGATTTGTCGCAAGAAATCTGGCGCAACCCATTCGTGAATTTATAGGTTCTCTGTGTAGAGCCACAGTTACGACATGCTCAGCTTCCCATCCATTCTTCGTGATTCTTCAGGCCATGTCACGCTCACTTGAGATGATCATCCCCTTTGCGGAGGTCATGCTGCATTTGGGATTGGACTTTTTGACTGTGAGAATGGGAGCAATGGGCCTTGAGACCATATACGCATCCAGTGTGTTGAACAACATTTGCTCGAATAAGGGAGACTACACTGGAGCACTTCGACAGGCTGAAAGGATGTACGAGTCATACCGAAATCAGAGTTCCATGCGTAAAGCGGATAATTTCTGGTTCATGGATAGTCAAATAATGGTGGCGTCTCTTCACGCAGAGCTTGGAAATTATGAAGAAGCTGCAAGGCTTGTTGAGGAAGGGCTGACGTTCTGTGAAACTCTGACGCTGGGGGCAAGAGACAGGGATAGAGTCCGTCTTCGTTTTCTCTGCCTTCAGGGGAATCTACGCCATTTTTTGGGATTGTCTGGGGCTTTTGAGGCACTGGAGGAGGCTTTAACCATTAGGCTTAGATGGTTTGCAGCAGATGACGGTGTTGCGATGTATATTGCGCAAGAGTTGCAGAAGATGCTCGACGAGCAGGCGGTTCGGGAGTATCATGTCTGAATTAAGATTTGTGAACGCATTTGAAGAGTTGCACGCTGTCATTTTGGACTTTGCCAGTTTTGACTTCCATACTGAATTGAGGCTCTATCTATCGTTCTGGTGCAGCAGAGTGCCATGAAAGAAGGCACCTGCCTCGAAGCAGAAAATCATAAGGAGCAAGTATACATCTTACTTTTTAGAGAGGATATGAGAAGGATAAAAAGGTCTTCAGACATGACTAGGGGCAGGTCTAGCCGTCAGGTCAGCCGTCATACTTGCAATAGGGTACACAGATGACCGAATCAGGCGCCACAGCGACAAAAGAAGCACACTGGGTTCATGAAAGCGCAAAACGCTTGCTGAAAGGCTCATTTCTGAGTAATCAGCAGCGCGGGGCAAGGTCAAGCAGACGATGCAAGGGAACAGGCAAAAGGAGCAGATTGTTGTGGCACAATTGGGCTAGATTTACCTGCGAAATACGTATTTTTATGCCAATGTCAAGCGTGTCTTCCTCTGTTCTTCCAGTGAAATCTCTGTCGACTCTCGAGGACGACATCCAATAACAGTGCTCATGGTGGCAGTACTCAATAGCCTATCCACCCCGCGGGCAATGCCTCAATTAGCATATCGCAAAAACTAAGCTCAAATAAGGTTAACTACCTGGAAAACTTCTCACAACAACCTCTCAATAAGCAGGCTTCTAGGATATATTATCTAAGAATATCTGGATCAGCCTATTCTTGATGATGTCCTCTCTCGAAGAAGATGAGTGAAGACGTTGATATGCAAGACTTGTGGCAACATCAAATCAATAAGATCGAGAGCGCTAATTGAGGCATTCCAACCCCCTGCTTCCCCGCGGAGTGGATACTGTACACAGCAGATTGCCGCTGTCTGAGCATTTGACCGGGAGTCTGTCTGACCTTTCTAATTCGGTCGTTGTATGAACAGAGCCCCGCTTATCCTTACATCGTCGTGAGATTAGTAAAACTGCGTTGTGAGAATACGGAGACCCGCAGGTTGTTCAAAAACGCCTTGCATCTTACTTATCACCCATTCACGTTGGTCTCGCAAACTCAAAACTGAACTTCATAAGTACGACTACGTTCCGCTATGCTAACCAAGCCTGGACTACTTTCTGGCCTATACTCCGTACGTACATAGTACTAAAGAGTACATTTGTCGGCTCTTGGCCCTGGCTCCAGCCAGCACGCCTAGAGAGCCTCTCAATATTGCTGCTTACAATCAGGTTTGCACTTTTGCCGAATAAATTTCGAGTACAATGGGCGCCACCTCAGTCAATGGTCCGGAACTCGGAATGGCGTGTCCAATCCTCGTTCTTCTCCATGTTGCGATGATGCAACTCTTTCCACATGGGCGACTATGAGGAATGGAAGCTTCTGACATCTTGTTTGCCTCAATGCCAGCAAGGGCGTCGGCGGGATATATGTAGACCCCGCCCACTCCTAGACTTACTATCCTTGTCTTGCAATCACAGGAGGAAAGCATCGATTGCTGAGGCATGGCATCGAGGACGGTTCCACGCCGTCGACCCAAAGCCAAAGCAGGCTCAGGGAGACTCTTAGATCCCCACCGCCAGCGCATTACCAAGATGTACCTTATCGACAAGAATCCGTTGAGTGACGTGAGGACAGCTATTCGCCAAGAGTTCGGCGTTGATGTCTCGTTCGTGGGCCCGGTTGAAATAAACTCTATGATGCCTTGAGCTAAGTGGTTTGCAGAGAAAAGGTCTATAAAGACAGAGTCAGGGAATGGAACATCAAGCGCAATCTAAGGAAAGACGACGTCGTGGCCCTTTTGAGGTTGTCTCGGGAGGCAGGGCCAAATGGACACGCTGGTCAAGTTTACATCAGAGGTCAGCCCGTCTCCTGGGTGAAAGTCGACAGTTATTTGAAGAGAAAGAAGACTACAGAGCATTCCCTTCTTGCAGAAAGCAGTTCATCCGAGGTTTTACCGTCCCATGTAGAACTACGTATGCCCGAGTGGACTATCACGACGCGATCTTCGACCTCACTGACACAACCAGGGCTAAGTCCTGTGACAAATCCTAGTGGTTGGACCCCAAGTTCGGCGCGTAATGAATTGTTGCTTGCAGCCACTCAGACCCAATCGGCAACAGGACCTGCAGAATTTGAGGCAACGACAGTTGAAAGTTCTTATGAGTATGAAGAGCTGCACGGGTGCGAAAGCACTCTTGTATCTCCCACGAATAGAAATCACAATCTCCATACGGCCGAATTGAACTTTGACCACGATGATGACTTGCCGTACCAGGGCATGCTTAACCAATTAGCATATCCTACAAGCACTGTTCATGAGTTCGCCGGACACTTGATTGATCCCACAAAATCGCCGGCTATGCTACATGAGTGGTTTGGCATATGCAGGAAAATATCGTCGCCGCAGCCTGGTGAAACCCGTGGCACGCCTGGTTTGATTGCGATGGATGCTGTTAACAGCCCACTCTCCTTGGAACAAAATACTCCGGAGGAGAGAGCACATCCGCAAGATCATATATTGCATCATACCAAGGACGAACTTCATGAAGATTCACCTATAAGCATCGATGAACTACCAGCTGAGGACTACCCCAAGAACTTCCTCGCGTGGTCCATAAATTCCTGGCTGCTTAAGAATGAATGTCGGCACGATGAATCACAATCAGCCATGAGATTTGCAGCCAGTATATTCGGAAAGATGATAGCTTGTCGCCACGAAAGATGTTTGACAAGCTTGGAGCTCCTCATGGCACTAATAGAGTCTCATGGGAACCCTGACTTCGCGAATGACCTCCTTGAAAGATTCAAGGCTACAGCGCTATCGATGAGCGGTCTGCCTGAGAAGAAGTCGATCATTCTCATAATCGGATTTAAGATCGACATCGTGTGCAGACTGGGAATTAGAAATATGTCTTACCTGACTGCCTTAGAGCAGGTCTATGCTGACTTTGAACAATATTGGGGTGCGGAGTCCCCTTCAACCTTAGTATGCCTTTACAATCTAGGCTGGTACCTAGCCGGCGACAGTGATCCTGACCAACTCAAAAAAGGCGAGGAGATTCTAAAACGAGTACAGTCAACTGCGGAGCGCATTCTCGAACCAAACGATCCACAAATGATCATGTGTCTGACTACGCTTGCCCGGGTCCTCTATAATCTCAATAGAAACTTTGAAGCGTTGGGAGTGATGAGTATCGCAATAGATCGAATCGACAAACGGTTTTTTGACTACCATCCATACCGGCTCGCAGCTCTTCGGAGGTGGTCAATGTTCATGCAGAAGGTTGGCGGCCACGACGCTGAACCCTTTCTCCGTGAGGTCGCTACTAAGCGTCTCCGAGTCTTGGGACCCGCCAGTGGGTTGACGAAATCAAGCATGAAGGAGTTGAAGACATTGCTGATAAAACAGGGCAGAAACGACGATGCAGAAAATATGCTCAGAGACCTCGTTGACGCAGCATCTCGCTTGGAGTGTATGGATGACGACTGTCGCATTTATTAAGTATAAAAATTATAGAAAGCCAATTCATGCACCAATTTTCAGCCGTAAATGACACTAATGACTCCATATCTGTGTACGGTTTCCTCGCGTAAGTCTGTAGAAGCTGCTTCTGAGGTGCACAAGGTTACATGCTGCTGGTATGAATTATGGCTAGGAACTGAAGACCTCTGGTTAGCTATTATGAGTTTCCTGCCCACATGAATGACAAGTTGGTTAACGAAAATACTAATTCCAAATGTTTCCATTCAATCATCATCAAATTGCACACAAGTGGTGATAAGCTGAAGCAGAAACACAGAAGAGTCGCCACTTGATGCAGCTTCGACGGATTCAACTTGACAGCTCATTGATACACCAAACCCGTGTGTATAAGGAGAAGGGAAAGCACAGACTGATCTTTCCTGGGGTATAGAATAAGAAGCTCCATAAAGTTACTGCTTTTGCCGTTCTCAACCATGGCCACTCTCTTTCTCCCACGCGTCACCATCTCCACAGCTCCAGCCCCATGTTTGTCCAGTGCCGGGCTTTTCCACCAGAAAACCTCATCCATACCCCGACTACCTGCCAGCCAACAACGAATGCAATATCAGGCTTAATACCATGACGAAAGAGATCCAAAGGGGTGTATATGTGACAGCCAGATGTGATGGCAGTTCATTGCTTACCAAGGTAAGCACCCCAACAAAGGCAGATACTGCGATTCCCACAGCGACAAAATGATTCTGATAAGAATGATGCTCGTGACGTCTCAGGATGTAAATAGTGACGATCCCCCATGCAACAGAAACGCAAAGGAACACAACGGGTTGGGGATCGAGCAAAGAACCCGGCTGCGAAGAAGTTTCAGAGAGAGGCTTTGCAAGTCAAGGAAGCATTTATACAATGCAATTTCTTTGAGAAGACATACCCAGTTGCCCTCCAACTGCCATCTGAGCTCATGCTTTAGTTCCTCTGCCACTAAATTCAGCTGTGGTCTATGACGGTCTCAGGTCCATCCGCGTACCCGAATGCGGTTTTTTGTGCTGCTTCCGATACTGGCTCGCAATGACAGCTAGACCAATGTTGCAGGCGCAACAGATCCATGTCGAAGGGTCGGTTTGCGGCGGCCGCGGCGCCTTTCTCGGTTCCTCACCTCTTTCTCTTTCCTTCGTGTTCGACCTGACGGACATTGGCGGGTGAGTTGCAGCGCTGAAGAGTCTGGCACAGGGTCAGAGCTGCGACAACATCTAAATCGCGCCCGTGGGGGCATTATATAAATGATGGACAAGTTTGCTCCCTTGGACGAGCGCGTATTTTATCACGGCAGTATCTATGTCCATAAGATGGAATGAAGCAACAACTGCCAATTATGATATTCTTGCATTCAGATAATATGAGTTCTGTGCAGGGGTACTGGATCCGTTTTGCGCGGACACTTTGAAGGCATGGTTATAGGAAGGAGGCAAAATGACTAAACATCAGAGCGCTAATAGGAATTGAACCCATTTCCGTTTTATCCCCTCACTGGCCCAACCTTCACAAGCGGCGTCCTCATCGCTCAGCCCCCAATGAGATCTGAATTTGTGTACTAATGCTGTTCTAATGCTGTTCCGTAGTGATAAAGATGGAGACTGACAATGCTGAGAATAGTTCCGAAAATGAGGCTAAGGCGAGGCTCGAACAATGATGCGGCAATCTTAGACACGACAACTTGTGCTATTAGCGCTCCCAGAAAGGAGGGAGAACGACCAGAGCATCAGAGCGGTAGTAGGAAATGAACCCATTTCATTTGCATCGCCTCATTGTTGTAGAGCCTTACGAGGTGTATTCAGCTGACACCGACAGATCTTCTGGTTTGGCTATTCGCTGATTTCTCTTCAAGCGGGGCGAGGCAGGGAGTAAACCATGATCATACCCTGAAGTTGGGCTCCTGAGGTTGGGCAGCAATGCTCAATCCAAGCCCCAACAGCTACTCCGTGAGTCACACTGGAAATGTGGCAACCACAGAGCCGCGACTGAACGCTTGCTTTGGTGGCTCCCTTTGACGTGGACCTGAAGTACGCTTTGCTTGCGTTTTACTACGTAAGTTTTCATTTGATATTAACTGCTCCATAGTTAATCTAGTTCACAGTACTCCATCACTTGATGAGACATGAGGCGAAGGGAAAGATGTTCAGAAGACACAACATTTATTCAAACAGGGCCAATCCCCCTGCCCTGCGCGGTCTCAACACGACCTGTCATCCAACCCTCTCGGTCGTCGTATCTCCATCTGCGAAACGCTTGCTTCACTCTTTAGATCTGCCCAAGGTATGGCCAGCAACATGATTCGCTCCGTACGACGTGGTCATGCAAAGCTGTGATATGATGAAATAAAAACACCACCAACTCCTTCATCTGCTCAAGACTATGGGGACTCACTGAGACTAAATCACAGCCATCTCGGTCGGTGTCTACAGCTTCGGAATCTACTTGTCAAGTCCTAGGTGCTGCGCAACATCTTCGCTTTGAAGGACATGAAAAGTTAGTTCTGTCTCTGGCAAATTACGTCTAGGGGAACACTCGACATGCTCACATCTAGCAGTTCTTCGTGATGATAAGAAGCAATTCGATGCCGAGTCCTCCGACCTTCATCGTGTCCTCCGACCTTCCCCGTGAAGATGGACTCGGCTCACCCGTCCAACGTCAATGGTTAGCGTTGTGGAAGGTTTGTCCTTTATAACCGTGGCTTCACCTAAGCGGAGCACATTACTGAAGTCCCATCAGAAACGAGACGGTTTCACCACACCTCATTCTAGTCCCATTGCATCACACCAACCATCACAGTCTCTCGCTAGCGGAGGTCGATTTTTAGGAAATGCTGCTGGTTCACCAGGCCCCAGCCCAGCGGCATCAAATCTGGTACCGAGGATTTTGCCACTGCCTGAAACCCGTCCAACCACCCAAGAACAGCTGGTAAACAGCTTGATGGCGATATGCCATGTGCTGGATACGGCGAAAGAAGTATGCGTCGAGGTTGATGAGCAGCAAGCAACTCCCTCAAGCAAACTTACCAATGAACAATGGGAAGCATCCATCGCGCTCCTCCTCACCCTGTTGGGCGACCACCAAGGCTTCTTCCTGGCTGAACAATATCCATCAGCGTCCATACCATTGGGCAGACTAGCCACCAAGCACCCAGTAATTTTCCTCCAAGATCTAGCCTCTCTACTTCTCTCATTATGGAAGCCAAATTTTCCAGGACTTTCTGTGCAACGGCAGGAGCAAGAAGAGCCAACGGATTCAGCTGCCGCTAGGACTGGCGACGGTTTTTTGAGTTCTCCTCCTACTTCTTTTCCATGGACCCTTCCATTCGCGCCTAATGCGGTTGAATACTTCGCGCTTTTTGTGTCCTGGAAAAGTGTCACTGTCTACCCTAACGCACAAGGGAGCCATGGAGATCTGGATAAACAACACGCATGCACTTTGACTTCGTCATTTGGGCGGCCACGCTTCGAGAAGTTCATGATGAGATGCCTGGAATCTGCACTGCCTGAACGAAAACCTCCTGAGGGGCCCATGCTGAGAAGTTGGACGCTTTTACCGCCAGGACGACATCTTCCCAGGAATCTCATGCCGCCAGCTCAGTTATTGTCAGTGCTTCGGTTCTCACTTACAATTTACAGCCCCTGTGGCATGTCATCGCTGCAGTATGGTGAAACACTCTTACAACCTTTTGACGTGGAATCCAAAAACGACCACAGCGACTGCTCTATGGAAAAAATGCAGAAAATAACCGCCAGGTGCGTACTTCAAGTAGCAGTACAAAAGAACGAGACTGATCATGTCCCAACTCTAGCAGAAGCAATCGACGGATTTTTCCCTTTACCAAATTTTTGCGCATCCTCCATACGCTTGTTGCATTTTATTCTGCACTGTGTTGCTTCCCCATCGCACTAGCTCAGCAAGAATCCGAACCCTCGTCGATACCAAGCGATTCATATTGGATCGGTGTGGTGTATCTACTGAGTCTAGGCTGGCTTTCGGTGAAAGCGACCAAGGGGGACCCAATGTACAGTTCGTTGTTATTGGTCTGGATTTCCTATGCCTCAGTTACCGTGTGGCATGATCTGGACGCTATCATACAATGTCTTGTTGTTGTCATTGGAGTAGCAATTCTCGCTATGGGACTTCACCAAGCTGAGAAGAGGCAGCAAGGTGTACCTTTTCGCACAAGGGAGAGAATCTCTACGGTGGAGGAAGGCAAGGCGTACTCCGATGGCGATGATCCTGACAACGGCGGCACAAGCAATTTATTTGACTGGAAACCTGCAAACGGTCAATTGTACGGCCTAGCATGTCCCACGACGACTTCGGTCGAACAGTCAGTGTCTGACAATGGGCCATACGAGGACCGCGGAAGCAGTCCTGAACCAGAACCCTGGAATGGTACTGTTGGGTTTCAGTATTCGGGATGAGGAGGATTCTCATTGAGAATACGTCTCTCTGTGGGAGGAGACTGTTCACATCGTTACAAAAAGCTAGAATGAAAATTAGAAATTGGGACACGAGGTTTTCGTATGTCCCAAGGCTCAGGCATACTTGTATTTTCTATTTCTATTTCATTTTACACCCTGGGTCGTCATTGGCGGGTATCACGAAAGGGTTTGCCTTTGGATTGAGCAAAAAAGAGCGGCAAATGTTTGATGGGATGCTCCGGAATATCTGTGTTTTATCAGAACGGCAGGCGAATGAATCACAGCGTTGCATGTGCTAACTTTGAGCCCCTTTTGATGGGCAAATGTATGTACAAGACTGCTATATAGAATTCACAAAGCCGGGACCATGGAAAACGACAATCTCTGCTACTTGGAGACGCGGCGCGTCGACAGCGGAGCTGTAAAGATATAAGTCCTGGATAAACATGTACGACCGGTGGGGTACATAGAGCCTTTGCGTCACGACCCGCAATGAGCAGGCTCGGAACAGCCTTGCACAGCCATGGCTCTCAGGGCTGCTTATTTTATCGCTCAGGTTACAGTCACGTGTGTTCAGGTTTCAAAGTGGAAAGAGAATTTGGAGAGATCAAGATTCCGGGTGTGAGGATTAAATTTATGACGAAGAAGGCAGCATTTCGTTTGATTTCTTGAAGCCATAAAAAATTCCTTGGTGCGGTAATAGATGTCTATCCAGATAACGGCAAGGGGGAACAGCAGGACAACAGGCGCGAGGTCCAAAACAACCGATGCCGAGAACTTGAAAAAATTAGTAATTGAGTACGTACAAGAAGCTTGTTTTCCGATTCCGTGATCCTCATCGTCCCCGCACTATCCCCATGTTGCACGCAACCGTATAGGACGTTACTTAAACAAATGATTCCTCGTCAATGTCCTCCCACTCATCTTCGTCTAATACTATGCCATGATTCTGATCTTCGCCTGATACTGTGACATGATGCTGATCTTCGCCTGATGCAATATACTCCTTGTATTCAGCTGATGGTAGTTCATATATTTCTCCTCCTGCGTTCCATATCATCTCAGCTGTCTCGTCATGACCATGATAGGCCGCAAAATCCAGTGGTGTCATGCCAATGCGGTTTTTGGAATTAATGTCGGCACCAGCATCAAGGAGTAGCTTGACCGAGTCGGGATGGCCGTTGCTTGCGGCCAGGTGGAGGGGGGTGATATCAATCGTCGTGCGAGCATCGACGTGAGCACCCGCGGCAAGTAAAGCCTCGATAACGTCGTTATGCCCCATCTCGGCGGCGCAATGAAGTGGTGTGGCGCCTGACATAGAGCCAAGGTCTTCGATAACGGCAGTCGCATTTGCTCCTGCCTTTAACAGAGCGCGGGCGATGTTGGCGTACCCTTTGATGGCGCAGGTGAAGAGAGGGTAATATTTGTCAACTATACGTGAGTCTGGATCCGCGCCTGCATCCAAGAGCATCTGGCATATTTCGTAGTTATTGTTATCAACTGCAGTAGATAATGGAGTCGAATTGTCCTGGTCCACAACATCAACTGTAGCTTTTGCCTCTAGCAGCGCCCTTACTACCTTCGCGTGACCCTGCGCAACTGCCAGATGCAGCGCCGTGACGTTGAGCCCGTTGGGTTGACCGTCTACTTGCGCGTTCGAATCAAGAAGGAGCTTGACCGTACCATAATATCCACGGTAGGCTGCTTCATGAAGGGTCATCATACCTTCCCAGGTGCCCGCTTCGATCTCCTCTCTATGGAGTTCACACTGGGTCCAGAACATCATTGTAGTTCTACAATCATGGCTGTGTCCACCTTCGATCTCGGCGGCATCCCTAAGTGACTCCATCCGGGCCTCCCATTGTGTTAGCACGTTGTGTATTGTCGGGGTATATCTGCTGACTTCCGACGGGGACAATTGTCGAAAGGGGTCCCATGAAAGCTTGAGTTTAATAAGTCTGTCCGATGCAGCGGCGAGAGCTTTAAGTGCTACAGGCCACGTCATCTGCTCGTCTTTTCGATGATAAAAAACCTCATATACCGGCTCCGGTGTAGCCAGCATATCCACAGCATAATGACCTCCGTGGAGGCGCAAAACTGTCGGCCGGGATGCACCCCGTAATAGAACAACAGGACTGCCCTTTTGGAGTAGCCTCTCATTCACTGCCGGAATGCTCCATGAATCTTGAAGCAAATCCGAAGCAACCGAGTCTAGTACTTCATCCGGAAGATGTGACTTGTCTGTGTCAAGCGCCCACCATCTGCCGCTCTCGATGTCATCTCTGAAGCTCAGGCAACCGTTTTCACCGGCGATTGTGCCAAGAAAGAGACCCTCAATTTCAAAAACAACTTCGTCTTGAGATGTCGACTGCGGGTTGATCACGGAATTCGGAAAGGCGAACCGCACAAGTTTCTGGGCTAGGACGTCTTGTGATATCGTGTAGTCCGGTTGTAGCTCTGGAACGCTGCGGGCATCGGAAGAAATACCTAGCAACGCGTACACCTTGTCAAGTGTCTTGCTAGCATTCCAAGTGCGAAAGCTCTCAATGAGCTCTATCAATGACGATGAGCGAGTCTCTAAGTTCTGGGTGGACTGATTCATCAGCTCCAGTGCTGGACGTATCTTTTGCACGAGCTTCTGGAAACTCCCGTAGAAAGAGGCTACCGCCATGACTTCATGATAGAAGTCATTGCCGCTAACGGTCTTGTCACCACAGACTACCAACACAGACTTTGCAGCCGCAACTTCTTGAAGAACCTATAGATCGAGTAAGTATGAGTCTTCCAGTTCATTTGTTTGAATCCCGGCTCGAATTTACCCATATGCGTGTAAACCACCGTCTCCCAAGTAGATTCTGGACACCAATCCTTGGAGGGTGTGAGTTGAAATCTCCAGCAGCGCATCCGCACCGACCGATATCTCGGCGGTCTTCCCACTTTCTCGACCTCACATTACGAGCTGCAATCTTCGTTTGGGCTTCGTGTCGAGCAAAACTTTCCATGGCTATAGTACTGTCGCCTTCTTCTGGACCAAGCCATATCACAACACGATCTGCAGTCTGGTAGATATCCCACATCATACCTACTTGCTCACCCTGCTCCTTGGTGTTGGACTGGTCAATGCATATCGCATCCACCCATAGAATTCTGGGCTTATCAGCATTTCGCAATGCGCGTAAAGCACCTTCGAGGTTCACTGTTACAGGGAAGACGTAGCCATTGACTCGAATATCCACTGTCTCAGGAGTATCACCCCATGTGTAGGACAATGCCTCGTAAGCAGTCTGATCCGCGTTCTTGGTATCATAATGGAATATTTTACAGTCAATCGGGCTTTCAGAACTGCGACTGGGCAAGAGTCTCAGTAGCCGGATACTGGATCCGTCGTGTGGAAGACGCTCATATTGATAAGATGCCATTAAAACGAGAGAAGAACAGAGACGGTGATCAGCTCATGAAAGGAAGCACGGAAAGACTTGCACCAAGGGCGTAGTAATAGGACATACTAATAGAGAAGTGACTTGGACTCACCATACTCAGCTGGACGTTGACCACAATAGAAGACTGGACTCTTTACGGAATACCAGCGACACAGATGTAACCTATCCCCCTTGCTGTTACTACGGTACCATGCAGAAGTATTGGGATCCCGGAGCTAGTAACTTAAGATCTTAAAACAGCCCTCAGACCAAGCCACTAGTGCTCAAAGTGGAAAGGGTATCCAGTCAAAGTGATTTGTGTGAGGCGGCAACAAGAGAAGCTTCTCGTTAGCAGTGAGCTATAAATACTTATTGCCTACTAGTACTAGTATTGTACTACGTAGTACGGAGTGCTTGGGTGATGCCTATTAGCGTCTTCTAGCATTAACGCCCAATCTCGCCAATATGTAGAAGGTGTTGACAAGATTAATTAGCCCTATTCAACTTTGTCTGGTCGTCGGTGACATTATGGTCAAAGCCGGCAAGTCTAGCAGATCCGGAAATGTGACTGGCATTTCCCAGAAGCATCTACATTCGCGCATTTCCTATCTCTATCAAGCCGCGGTCTATCTCGGGGCTGCTGAGCTCAGTGCGAAGGATGCGCATCCAGAAAGAGCCGAGGTTGACAAGACCAATCTACTTGGGCCTAAGCAGCCAGAAGAACATTTGCACCTAGGTAAAAGATCGGAGCCCAACATCGCTCCCATTAAGGCAGACCAGAGCAAGACAGGACTGCCCGACGTTCGGCTGAGATCGCAAGCGCCCAAAAAGGTCCATGGGTCTTCAGCACAGACGCATCAACTACTCACCTCAATGCGTTCCATCTCGCAAAAGTCACAGATCCATCTTTCCCAATCCATAAAGCGATCTATTTGTCGCAGATGTAACGGGCTACTTACACTGAACAGCACAAGCGAGATTGAAAACATGAGTCGAGAAGGAAAGAAACCTTGTGCGGATGTGCTGGTCGTGACGTGTTGCCAATGTGGGAATGTCAAGAGGTATCCTGTTGGCATGGGGGAAGCACAGAACCGTCATAAGAAGAAGAGGAGGCTTGCCTCTGGAGCTGCGACGCCAAGTGAGAACGCTAACTACTCGAAGCCTGTGGAAAAGACGTGAGCTACACGGACTTCGGAGCTTTTACTGCATTTTCAGAAATACTACAGCTCCATCACATGCGACCATCTCTGCTGGAGTGCAAACTCGTCCGAAGCATCTGCCTCGTTTCGATTTTGACGATTGCTAGCCGAGGACGACATGATCTCTCTAGAACTGGGCTTACAAAGTTCCATCTTCAAACTCTTACGATAGTTGCTGGTTCATGTCTTAGTATCAGCAACAGCTTGATGAAACGGATTTCTCAACGTCAAGCGACCGTCACATCCCGAAGCTCCTACTCTGAAAACCCACCGCAAGCAGTTCTTTTCCAGGCTTAAAATGCTGTCTGTCTGCAGACCCGGCTTCTGTTTGGTCTTAGCTGTTTGGTCTTAGTATTGAATCTTCCTCCGTCATGAAGATGCACGGTGGCTCTGCAGAGTCTGCCACGGATGTCGGCAAAACTGCTCGCAAGGCCGCAATGCTGCGCCACGTTGGCAAGTCTCGACAACGATACTTTTTCCCACAACGCATTATGCAAACTGATGACCATACTCTCAAAGCCTTCGTCCAGGAGCACCATGGATCTTTGAACAGTTAACGGGCCAGGAAGATATGCCAGTGAGCCTGCTCAAGGCTGGAGAAGATGCCATCTACTTCTACTGAAGACATCTCTGGATTGTGGCGTCTGATGTGCGCAGGAAGGTGGAAGGAAGTAATAAGGGACAACGAGTCTTGGTACAGCAATAGAGATAGCGGCGGCAAGGTTGATAATTTAGGGGATAGTATTTTTTGAAGTTGCTAAATGTACAACGCGTGGTTAACAGGCATAGAACCATTTCAGTGATCCTTCTTGGACAATTCAGATCCAACCATACAGATTGAGCAAGGGCACAAATAGAGTTTATATGTAGCAGAGGCGGAAGACTGCTCTATGTAGCCGGGCTAACTCACATCGAGTAAAGAGACTGGTATTCTGGTCACTGAATGACAGCTTGTCGAGCTAGTGGCATACACACATCTTGAGACGTTGCCTTGTTCCGAAAGAGTGAGTGTCCGTACAGGGTAAATGATGATTTGTTGTGACTAAAAGTGGAAAGGGGGTAAAGTTTCCAAGCGTCAGGCCACCCTTTAGGCCGGGACGCACAAGGAAATCTCTCAAGCTCCACCGAATTTTGTCATCAGCAGGGCGCACAGCTCTTCGGCAATATGTCTCATAAAAATCTAGGAACGCTTTCTGAAACTTGTACTGTCTATCATGTCGGACCTGAAGGGATCCAAAATGAAGGGGCCAAAACAATTGACGATCGTGATCAAGCTCGGTGAGTCTTTCTGTGATAAAATGTCTCCACGATTTGTTTGACCATGCCAGGCACGAGTTCGATTGTGGATGAGATAACCCATCAGCCAATTCTCTCGGTCTTGTCGTTGATAGCGGAGACTGCCATCAAATTGATCAAGGATGGCCATAAGGTCATCATTGTCTCGTCTGGTGCCATTGGCATGGGTCTGCGCAGAATGGACATTGAAAAGAAGCCCCAGTACCTTCCCAGACTTCAGGTACGGCTTCCTGTCCTTCGTACAACATTATGGCCTAAGTTCGAGGACAGGCGCTTGCTGCCATAGGTCAATGCCAACTCATGTCCCTCTGGGACTGGCTTTTCAAGGAACTCCGCCAGCCCGTCGCCCAGATCCTGCTGACCCGAAACGACATCGCCGACAGGACCCAATACGTGAACGCAAAGAACACGCTGTTGGAACTCCTCAAAATGGGGGTGATCCCCATCGTCAACGAAAACGACACCCTCGCGGTGGCCGAGATCAAATTCGGCGACAACGACACCCTATCCGCCATCACGGCCGCCATGGTCAATGCCGACTACCTCTTCCTGATGACGGACGTCGACTGCCTATATGATAAGAACCCGCGCAGCCACCCGGACGCGAACCCGCTCCCCGTCATCGCCGACATCAGCACCCTCTCGGCCGACGTATCGACCTCCGGCTCCTCGCTCGGCACGGGCGG